TTACGCTTTCAATATGAAGCCATCTACCCCATCGACGTGAACCAGTTGTGTGAGGAAGATGTGCAGAGTGGAGCAATAGAAATCCTACCTGCAAAGGTGGTGTTCACGAGAAAGCCACCGGTGGGAAAAAGACGCGCGCGCATAGTGGCGTGCGGAAACTTTCAGCAGAAGACCTGGAGCGATCAAGTTGCAGTTGCTCGTCGAGAGGTATACGCCTCTGGGCTAGACACCATCGCGTTGAGAATCCAGTTGCGACAGGCGTCTCTATGTGGGTGGACCGCTGCAATCCTAGACATAAGAAAAGCCTTCCTGTATGCGCCGCTGCACGAACGGAAGGGAAAAGGAAAACGCATAATCTTGATGCCGCCTAAAATACTGGTCAAGGCCAAGATAATCCCACCGTCGGAGCGATGGGTTATCCAGAGAGCACTATACGGCTTGGACTTAAGCCCGGCGGCATGGAGCCGACACCGTGACAAATGTCTTTCTCAGCTGAAGTGGGCCTTCGAGGGTTTGGAGTACAGACTAACACAGAGCGATTCCGAACCGTCTCTTTGGAAAATCCAGGATTCCAGCAACGCTTTGAAGGGGCTCATTGGCGTATATGTTGACGATATGCTCTTGAGTGCTTGCAGAGGCTTATTGGAATCAGTGGCAGGGGCCATTCAGACGCTTTGGGAGACCAGCGACATTAAGTTTGCGGAGGACGGTTTGCACTTTCTTGGTGTTGATATCCGGCTGCACAATGGTAGGTATTACCTAACACAAGTGAGCTATGTCACCGAGTTGCTGAACAGGCATCCCGAAATTGAGGGGACTGCGTCGACGCCGTATCCAGCTGAGAAGGATCAGGAGACCCAAGAAGAGAATATCCAGATGGAGTCGGTTCGCTTAGTGCAGGGGCTGATTGGAGAATTAACGTGGTTGGCCACGAAAACAAGGTTGGATATCGCGTGGGCGGTGAACCGTGCTTCTCAGCTTTCTAGCAAGCGTCCTAGCAGGGCGATTGCAGTGTGCCAAAACATCGTGCGATATCTCCGAGGAAAGCCGGATTTGGGCCTGGTGTACGGGCCGAAGCCTGCGCAGGGCGTGAAGGTCGAAATGACGGAGGGGACTCTAGAAGTCGCCACAGACGCGTCGTTTGCACCGCTGGGCGAAAAGTCACAAACCGGTGTGGTGTTAAAATGGGCCGGCGCTGTCATCGGCTGGGTTTCCTCAAAGCAGACGTTCGTCTGCCTGAGTTCGGCAGAAGCTGAGCTATATGCGGCCATGGAAGGTATGGTCATGACAGACAGTGTCAGTGACCTGGTACGCGAACTAGTAGGGCAGGTGGCGCCAGCTCTCTATTCGGACAACGTTGCATGCACTTGCTTGATCGCTCTCCCGGCGGGCTCATGGAGAACCCGTCATTTGAGACTTCGCGCGAGAAGATTGCACGAGAGAATAGAGAATGAGGAGCTTCAATGTTTTCACCTACCAGGGGAGGTCATGACCGCGGACCTATTAACCAAGTCGCTTTCGTCTCAGAGGATGCAGAAGCTACTTGACTTGGCTGGAGTCGTCCAGTTGTCCCATGTCTTAAGATGCGCCGTGGTGGTGCTGAGCATCTCCAGAGCGCAAGCTCAGCCATCTGAAGATGAAGAAGATGAAGCGTCATGGGTTCCACTTCTGCTAGTAATGGGGTTCACGGTCTTAATCGCAAGACTTTTGGAACTGTGTTTGCGATGGTGTTGGAGTCAAGGGGCAAGGAGACTTAGAGATCTTCAGGGGCCACCTGAGAACGGAGAACTAGTAGGGTCTGTTCTAGAACAAGTATCTTCGCAGGGAGCTGTAGACGGGTCTGAGGTGACAGTAGTCGCTTTTGGGGATGACGTTGGACTGGTAGGGCCAGAGGATCAGGTCGAAGTTGTGGCTGCGGACTTGATCGCTAGGGCGCTAGAAGAAGAAGAACGAGCCTTGTTTCATAGGTGGTATGCTCTATATGTTGAGCCCTATGATCCCTACGACCCGTTGTTAGATGAGTCCCCATCCCGCAGAGCCTCTCTTGAAGACATTTGGTCGGAACCTCAAAGCCCAAATCCCGAACCTGAAATAGGACAGGGGTCTAGGACCGGGGGAGTAGAACTGTCTCAGGCGGCAGGGCCTAAAACTAAAGCTCCAGATCCTAAGTCAAGTACCCAAACTTCCTTTCAGGGGCACCATCCCTCGTTGAGTTCTGGGCTTTCGGAAGAGTCTCTGGTTTCGGGTGGGAGTCTTGAAGTAGACCCTAAGAGTAAGCCTCCTGCACCAAAACCGCCCCCGGATGGTTGGTTGGGAACCGTTGTAAAAAGGCCTCCGCCCGTGACATCGCAGTCTGTAGCTATCCCTATCCCTAAGCCGAAACTACCGCCTGAAGGTTGGTTGGGAACTGTTGCCCCAAAGCATCCAACCGCGAAGGCACAGTCTGTAGGTGTCCCAAAGTCTCCTCCTGTTAAGCAACCCCCACCAGCTCCGAAATTGAACCCGCAAGCTCATCAGGACATGATATTAATCGCGCAGACACAAGAATTGATTCAGTGGGAGCTTCGCCGAAATCTCGGCCATCAGCCCATTGAAGGGCTCAGAGATAACTTCCACTACATTCCCGAACTTGGTCTGCTGATAAGATGGCATCCGATGTGGCGCCAACAGTTCTTCGACCCAAGTCGGACAGCACTTCCGATATCACTAAGCAGGTTGGTTGGGGATCGTCGGTCTTTCTGTATCTTCAGGGATGGTACCAGTGGCATTCTTGATGACAACTTCAGGGTCACGCGCCAAGGGGCGAACGTCTCAACGATGCAATGGCAGGGGAGAACTGAGTTCCTTGTAGCTCCTCCAACCCCTATAGCTCCTGTACCAAACCCTCCTCCAAGCAAATCGAAAGCCGCAGGTCCCAAACCAAAATCTAAGCCGAAATCTCAACCGAAAGCCGAGCCGAAGCCGAAAACACCACCACGTCGCTTAACACAGTGAAGCGGAAACTGTAGACCTCAAACAAGGCGTACTCCTAGAAGTCCTGATTCCTAGTCTTAAGTGATGTAGGTTTTGGGTGTTTAGATAGGGTTGACGGGGTAAGTTCTCCTTCCTTTGGGGCCAGTAGCGTCTTAAAGGGTTTTCTAGGTCCTATGCTTGGTACAGATAAGTATGTGGACACCGTCTTGCGTAAGCTGGTTTTCCGTAGTCTTGAGCGTCGCAGAGTGTTTGAAACCGCAGTATCGTTTAGAGCATCTTGATCGTAGGCAGCCGGTAAGTGCTGCTATTGTTTCCGAGAAGGGGAGCTCGCTGGACTTTTGGGATTCCTGTCCTGTCCTTAGGCGTCCCCCCGTAGATCTCCTTTAGATCTCCGTTGTTGGTGTTGTTACGCAGAAAAGGCCTTGAGCTTTGAGCACTCACTCCACGGCCTAACAACTACCTGGCCAAGTGTTTGAAAGAGTGGTGTGCCTTAGATATGAGTTTGCATGCTGCAAAGGGGGAGTCTTGATGATGAAGCATCATATCCCTTCTGCAGGCCTTTTAGCTATGATCAAGTGCAGTATCTGAAAAGGGCGATTTGACTTGTGCGAGTTCACAGGTGTCTTGGCAGCATTAACCCTAAACCCTAACCTCTAATCTAAGGGTTGGTTTCCTTATAGGGTTTAGGGTTTAGGGTTTAGGGTTTAGGCGGCCCGTGATTAAGAAATCCCCAATTCGTCCGGTTTAGGGTTGGGGTTTAGGGTTCCGGGTCTAAGGTTCGGGGGGCAAGGGGCGAGCGGAGGCAAAAGGGAAGGTTCGGGTGAAGGGTTTGAGCCCTTGAGCCGACTTTAGGGAAGCTTCGGCGACCTTTGGGACACTAGCTGTTTTTCTTAACCCCCCCCCCCACCACGTGGCGAACATCACTCAACGAAAGGAAGTACCGTATACCCTAAGCCCTGAACCCTTATATAATCCCCGAAAAACCTCGCTCTCCCTTCTAACTTGGGCACTTTTGAGGGCGGCAGCCAGTGCAACACCTCACTTTCCATCTGATGCTTGCAGGCATCAATGAGCTGATATGGAGGGTCCAGCTCTCCTTCTGTGCACTGATACCCCCGAGTCGGGACTCACCCCGAGCGCGTTTCTCAGGGATGAAGGGTTTAGGGTTTAGGGTTTAAGGTTTAGGGTTTAGGGTTTAGGGTTTAGGGTTTAGGGTTTAGGGTCGAAGTCCCTTCGTCTCGTCACTGGCGCAAGCTGCAGCGCACGCAGCACAAATCGAGTTCAGAAACTGTTTCTGCCACGGCGATTGGGCGTGTGGTCTGGAGAACCTACCGGAGCCTGTTCTCCTCAGAACCAGCACCGGTTCCCTCATAATTGAAGTAACTACCCTAAACCCCCACCTCACCCTTGGCGTGGTTTCGGTTGGCCTTTTGCAGCATTTAGTGTTTAGGGTTTAGGGTTAGGGTTTAGGGTTTAGGGGTTTAGGGTTTAGGGTTTAGGGTTTAGGGTTCAGGGTTTAGGATTTAGGATTTAGGGTTTAGGGTTTAGGGCTTGGGGCTTAGGGTTTAGGGTTTGGGGTTCCGGATTCCCGGGTTCCTGGCGTTCCCTTCGTACCATCAGAATGGGCCCATGACCCCTTGCCACGGGCCCTGGATTCCCGCACGGAGCCCCTGGACTCCTACTTGGAGGTTCAGGGTACTTGCAACCCCAGTTATCACTGACCTTGTAAGCCCCCTAAGTCCTCTAAGTAGGTTATGAGTAGACTTAGAACTGTGGTTATAAGTACCCATGAACCTCCAAGTAGAGGTCTAAAATGCTACGAAGTTCTGGGCCTAAACCCATGGATGCGTAGACCCCCTAGCCCAATCCACCGAAAGGCCAACGTGAAGGACAACTGCAGGAAAGGAGATCCCAATCGGGGGAACCTCAAACCCTAGACCCTAAAACCCAAACCCCAAACCCAAAACCCCAAACCCAAACCCCAAACCCTACACCCCACACCCTACACCCTAAACCCTAAACCCTGCCTCCGGCATTCTGGGCTCCTGCAGCCGCTTGCTTCTTCTCCCGGGGATCCTCAACGAAGTGGTGCTTCAGCGCCTCGGCTTGCAGGTAGGGTTTAGGGTTTAGGGTTTAGGGTTTAACGTTTAAGGTTTAGGGCTTAGGGTTTATAGGCTTTAGGGTTTATGATCTAGGGTCTAGGGTAACCCAAGGTTCCCTAATACTCCCCAATACGCCAAAAAAAGGAAGTACAATGGAGACTGTAGATAAGGGTTTGTAGGGTTAACGTTTACAGGGTTTGGGGTTTAGGGTTTGGGTTCAGGGTTCGGGGTTTGGGATGGTGGGGTTTTGGAGCTTGGGTTTTCGAGCTTTAGGGGTTTAAGGGCCCGAGTGATTTGTGTCGGTGCACATGGAAAAGCGCCTGTGACTTCATCTACCTTGTAAACCCAACGATCTCAAAGTAAATCTCCGTCACATCTAGAAACTCAAATCTTTATTTTCTTAATAATGAAAGAATGATTTAAAAGCAATAACAATATTAATAATGTATACACATGGGCACACCTCTGAGCCCATCTCTACTTGGAGGTTCACGGTACTTATTAACCAATTCTAACTGTACTTGTAACTGTACTTAACACCATGTTCGGGTGGCACTGAAGGGGTTATAAGTATAACTGTACTTGTAGCCATCTTGGGGCTTATAAGTGGGTTATAAGTACCGTTATGATTGGTTAACTAGTACCCCTAAACCCTAAACCCTAAACCCTAAACCCTAAACCCTATAAGTACAGTCATATCTGGTTCGTAAGTACCATGAACCTCCAAGGTAGAAGTCCTAAACTCCGGAGCCCGGCGGCGTCGTCCGCGCTGAGCCGCTTCTCAGGGTCCAAAGCCAGCCTCATTTCGGGGGGTCTAGGGTTTAGGGTTTAGGGTTTAGGGTTTAGGGCTAGGGTTTAGGGTTAGGGTTTAGGTTTTGCCTCATTTCGGGGAGACAGCGGGCTTGAGGGCTGAGGTTTAGGGTTTGGGGTTTAGGGTTTAGGGTTTGGGGTTTTGGGGTTTTGGGGTTTTGGGGTTTTGGGGTTTTGGGGTTTTGGGGTTTTGGGGTTTTGGGGTTTTGGGGTTTTGGGGTTTTGGGGTTTTGGGGTTTTGGGGTTTTGGGGTTTTGGGGTTTTGGGGTTTTGGGGTGTTGGGGTTTTGGGGTATTGGGGTTTTGGGGCTTGGGGGTTTTGGGGTTTTGGGTGGTTTTGGGGTTTTGGGTTTTTGGGGTTTTGGGGTTTTGGGGTTTACGGTTTGGGGTCGAGGGGCCTTAGCAAGACAGTTTTACAGTCTGGTGTTTAGCTCGCCCCAGCCACTAGGATGCCACAGACAACCGGCTTATTCAGGATTCTACTCTTCGCTCAAGAACCCCACCAAAATGAAGGATAATACTCCCTATATTGCCCTTTAAAAGGAGAATATTCTGGTTTGTTTTGGGGGTTCACAAGCAAACAGTAGGATGAGGGTTCAGAGGTGGACGGATGGATAAGGGAACCTAATATCCGACATAGGGGAAACGAAGCCCTAAAACCCTAAAACCCCAACCCGAAAACAAGGCAACCATACCCAAAAAACGAAAACCCCAAAGCCCTAAAGCCCCAAAACCTCAAACCCTTACAACCTAAAACCCCAATACCCTCACACCCTAACCTCCCCCCACCCCACAAAGCAAAGCACACACGCACACGCACACACCAAAAAAATGAAAGGGGAATACATGCCGACCGAGGTCTCTTGGAGAGGAGGCGAGGGAGGTGAGGTGGTATAGGGTGTAGGGATTCAGGGACGAAGGGATTTAGGGACTTAGGGTTTATTCGGTGTAGGGTTTTCAGAATTCAGGGTTCAGGGTCTTAGCGCTTCCGAAATGAACCCAAAATGATAGTCAGCTCCTAGTTTAGATCAAAAGGCCGCCAAATTTCCCTCGTGCCCTGCAACCCTAAACTCCCCAGCATACGGTGTCATCGCATGTGCCCCTTATACCCTGCAAACCTAACAACTAAAACATGCAGTAAAATAAAGTCTCATTTCAGGCCCACGAGTTCGTTCAACGGTGGGTTCGATAGTCTGGGACGGATAATTCGGCGGTTGCACCCCCTCAACCGGGTCAATATCAAGCCTCCTGACGTAATGCATGTGAGATTTCAGGGTCTAGGGCTCCACCCCAAACCCTAAACCCAGTCCGCCAAGGGTTGCCGCGCATGTTCAGCTCAGGGGCATCTTTTCCAAGAGGTCGGCAAAATGCACCGTTTTCTTCACGTACCTTAGGGCTTAAACCCTAAACCCTAAACCCTGAACCCCAAACCCTAAACACGCCCGACCAGCAACCAAAGCCCTTGGCCAGCTAGGACCCCCTAATAAAGCCTAAAGCAGTAAAGCCTTAAGACCAAAAAGCCTGAACCCTCAATCTTCAAGTTTAGCGTTTCGGGGGTTTTCTGCTTGTGGGCTTCTTAACCTCCTAAGCCTTAGGCCCCCCAAGCCGGAAGCCCCAGCAACAAAACCGAACACACCCAGAAGCCCGCAAGCCTGAACCTTAAGTCCCTAAAACCCTTAAACCACCCCAACCCCTAAGCCCCAGACCCCAAGCCACCCCAACGTACTAAACCCGAAATCCTAAACCCTAAATCCTAAACCCTAAAACCCCTAAATCCTAAACCCTAAACCCTATATCAACCCTGAGACCCCTGAGACCTTGCGACCTCTCAGGCCCTGTATAGGCCGTTAAGAGCGTCAGCCCTATACAGTTCAGGGTTTAGGGTTCAGGGTTCAGGGTTCAGGGTTGGGTTTAGGGTTTAGGGTTTAGGGTTTGGGGTTTGGGGTTTGGGGTTTGGGGTTTAGGGTTTAGGGTTTAGGGTTTAGGGTTTAGGGTTTAGGGTTTAGGGTTTAGGGTTTAGGGTTTAGGGTTTAGGGTTTAGGGTTTAGGGCTCAGGGGGGCCCAAAACCGTAAAACTTTACGAACCTCAACCCTACACCTTGAGAGCCCAAACCCTACAACTCGAGGAACCCCCCCGACCCAAACCCTAAACCCTTAACTCATAAAACCCTATTTGGGGTTCAGGGTTTAGGGTTTAGGGTTTAGGGTTTAGTTTAGGGTTTAAACCCCACAAGCCCCCCCCCCCCCCCAATAAGCTTGGCGTCTGCTGGTCCTCACGCTCCTGGGACTTCTGCTTCTCCGGTCCAAGCCGATCCAGGAGGAAGTCCTGTGGGCCCAAGACCTATACTCCCTTTAGAGCTTTGGTGGTTTAGGGTTTAGGGTGTAGGGTTTAGGGTTTAGGGTTTAGGGTGTAGGGTTTAGAGTTTAGGGTTTAGGGTTTAGGGATACTATGTTCTACATTCCCTTGGGTTTTATGTCGAACAAGTTGTTAAAAAAACAAAAACGTCCTATGGGGGCTATAGATACCCGCAGAAGGTGGCTCAGAGTTTTAGGGTTTGGGTTTGGGGTCCGGGGTTTAAGGTTACGTAAGGGTTGAGGGCTTAGGTTTTGGGGTTTAAAGGTTAAGGCCTTAAGGGTGGCTCAGGGTGTAGAGTTCAGGGTTGTGCTTGTAGGCTTCGGGCTGTGTGATTTTGTGTTCAAGCAGTTTAGGGTTTAGGGCTTGACACCCGAAACCCTAAACCCTAAGCCTTAGGCTCTGAGCCCAAATCCCTATAAGCCATAAGCCTTGCAGGCCCTAAGCCCGTGAGGATTATGTACTCCCAGCCACAGAGAGTGACCTAGCTGTCCAGTACCCAGGGGGATTAAAGGTCAACCTTTGGGACTATAAGGGGATTCTAGTACCCCAAAAAGGTTAAAGGCCACCTACTCTACTACCCTAAACCCTAAACCCTAAACCCTAAACCCTAAACCCCAAACCCTAAACCTAAACCCTAAACCCTAAACCCTAAACCCTAAACCCTAAACCCTAAACCTGCAAGTAAGGTGACTGTCCTTCAGCTCTCTCTTGCAGCTGTTGTCCGTGATGATCCGGACGATCTCCTTCGCAGGGTTTAGGGTTTAGGGTTTAGGGTTTAGGGTTTAGGGTTTAGGGTTTAGGGTTTAGGGTTTCGGGTTTCGGGTTTCGAGTGTAGGCCGTTGCATCCCTAGACCGCACAACCGGGGTTAGGGTTTAGGGTTTCGGGTTTAGGGTTTTGGGGTTGGGATTACCCTAAACCCTGAAACCTTCAAGCCGAAAACCCTAAGGTCCAAGTATAGACTCGTGGTCCCGTAGGGAAAACCCCAAACACCACAATTGATGCCTAAACGCCTAAGCATCATACATCCCGAACTCTGTGTTTTGCCCGAAACCCCCAGAGAACCCTGCACCCTCAAACAAAAAGATTGGGCTCAGGCCGCAAGCCACTCACGGCACATCTTGTAAGTTTGCTTCTGTAAGGCCAAGCCTATGCCTGCTCTTCGTGATTCGGCTATAATGATATAAGTAGGGTATATATTTCTTGTACCCCCAAAAGGACAGCCGGTATATACACTCACCAAGACTAAAGAGGAACCTTATACACACTCACCAAAAACAGTAATATAACACCTGCTTCATATAGGGGCCTTAATCAGTAGAGTAGGTCTTTAGGCGGGCTATTCTCGTATAGTTTTAGGGACCATACGGGAATACTACTAGCAATTATTCCGACCCCTATACTAGGTAGGTGGCCGTGATGAACATTGCTGCCTGAATCATCCAGCGCTGTCTCTCGCCATACTGCTTTGTAGCCCAAATACCCTGACCCAAACACTTGGGAGTGTACGAGTATAAGGGACTCTAGTATAGACCCCCAAGTAGTAGGCTTCCCTTGAAAAAAGAACCGCCCTGATAACGGAAATCCCCTATTGGGGCGGCGCCTGACAACATTCGATGATCCGAAGTTAGTCTGGACTCAAAGCCCTGAACCGAAGTGGCACGGAAACGAACCAACCCTGATTGACGTCGTCTCCTCGCCCGACAAGGCATCTTTGTCGACGAACCTGTGCCAACCCTAAACCCTCGACCCTCAACCCTAGCCCCACAACCCTAATGGTTTAGGGTGCTAAGGTTTGGGGTCTACGTTCTGGCTTCAGGTTTAGGGCCTTAGAGGGTTTAGGGACCCTACCCGCGCAATTCTTGTGTCCGCTCATAACCTACTTACAGGACTCAGGGGGCTTATAAGTGCAGTTATGCCTGGGTAAACACTAGACCCCCAAACCCTAATCCCTGCTGCACGTGGGGTTTCAAGTACTCAGGAACCCCCAAGCCTAAACCCTAAACCCTAAACCCTAAACCCTAAACTCTAAACCCCTAAACCCACTCAAACAAGCAACCGAAACTCGGCCCTCTGTGCTGCTTAGCCTATGCTGTTGCCACAGCAGCAGGCAAACTTCTAGCCTAAAGGTCCGCAGGTGACCGAGGTTGCGGGAGAGGCAGGCCCGGGGGCTTGTGGCCAGGTTTAGGGTTTAGGGTTTAGGGTTTAGGGTTTAGGGTTTAGGGTTTAGGGTTTAGGGTTTAGGAGTGCCATGCAAACATCACTCCACCCCATGATCCCTTGGATGTGATATGATCGTCCGCACCAAAGCCCCTCCAGTCCAAGAGGAGCTCCAAAAGGCTCTTGTCGGTAGGGTTTGGGGTTGGGAGTTTGGGGTTTATGTTTTCAGGGTCTTTCAATTTAGGGTGTTGGTGGGGTTTAGGGTTTAGGCTTTTGGGGTTTTGCAGCTTAGGGTTTTCGGGTTTTAGGGGTTTAGGGTTTTAGAGTTGCGAGTGGACCAACGACGCCTGCCAAAGACCTCACTGCCGTACGAGATTCCAAGAACGAGGTTCCAAACCCTACGCCCCCAAACACTCGAGCCCCAACAAGACTATACTCCCCCTTAGAACCTTAATAAATTGACATTGTTATTATCCTCTTGGGCTTTATATGAACAAAAACAAAACATAATTCAAAAGAGGGATATAGAAGACCCACGTCCAAATGCCCTTGCGGAGCGTCCGCCCAAAACGGAGCCAGTGGCTAATACACATACAACGAGCTGAACATTCGAACATAGCAGCAACAAGAACTACGATGACGGTGAACATAACATTGATCAAACTATTCATCAGAAGCATAACCTGATTGACAATAATCATCATAAGCGTGCTCAAGCCCCAACCCCTGAAGACCCTAACCCCCGAAAAGCCTCTACCAGGGTCGTGATCATAATCCTAAACCCCCAACCATTACCCCCCAAACCCTAAACCCCAAACCCAAATCCTAAACCCTAGACCCCAAACCCAAAAACCCAAACCCCAACACCCAAAACCCCAAACCCCAAACCCTAAACCCTAAACCCTAAACCCCAAACCCCAAACCCCGAACCCGAAATCGCAACCCGCGCGGCTTGAAGTCCAGGTTCTCGTCGAAGTGGTTCTTCCAGACGGCACCCTTCCGGATGACGTTCTTCGGGATCTTCCCCTGAGCAGAAAGAGCTAAGGCTTAAGGCTGAGGGTTTGGGGTTTGGGGTTTAGGGTTTAGGGTTTAGGGTTTAGGGTTTAGGGTTTAGGGTTTAGGGTTAGGGTTTAGGGTTTAGGGTTTCGGGGTTCGGGGTTTAGAGCTGGGGGCTCCTCGGGCTCTTCCGGTAAGCTGCTCAGGGGCTTAAGGAGGGATTTAGGGGATTTAGGGTTTAGGGCTAGGGTTTAGGGTTTAGGGTTAGGGGTTTAGGGGTTTAGGGTTCGGGGTCCTGGGGACTTGGGGATTTTGTTGAATTTCGGCTGGAGGCCTTGGTGTTTCAGGGGTCTCTAGCGTGCTAAGTCAGGTTCAAGGCTCGGGCTCGAGGTCGTTAAGCCCGCAAGCCCCCAAGAGAAGAGCCCCAAGAGAACCCTGAACCCTGAACCCTAAACCCTGAACCCTAATGTTAACCTCACATCTATAAATGGGGTGGCAACTGTAATATTCGCCGGGCCAGAGGGGCTCAGCCGAAGACTACTTTCCATTACGGGAGGTTTTCGGGCCGATGTGTGTAAACAAGTCTATATAGGGGGGTCCGGTGAAAATAATAATGGGGTGACAACAGTAATATTTGGCCGGCCAGGAATCAGAAATTTTACTTGCAGAGAAGACTTTTCGAGCTCCGCAGAACCCTTCGAGACCAAGCACAGCAGACCCTGACAGCTAACCCCCCCAAGACCCCCAGAATCCGCATTATTGGCACCCACTCGTTTTTGTCTACCCCTCCAGACCCCGGGGACCAAAAACAAGTTTTGGGGGGGGGGGGGGGGTTTATTAAAGCGACGTTAACATTAAACTCGAAACCCTAAAGCCTAAAGCCCTACACCCTAAACGAAAGAATCCAAGGCACAGGCCCTCCTCACCGAAAACAGTCAAAACGAACCCCCGGGTTTAGGATTTCGGGTATAGGGTTTAGGGTTTAGGGAGATAAGATGAAGCCACCAACCCCCAAAAAATTAACATTCCGAGCCCTGAACGCCGAACCTCTGATTCCCGGTTCCTTTTTGTTGGGGCGGATTTGGGGGGGATTTTTAGGCCCTGAAAAGATTCAGGATGAAGCCAGGAGCTTTTACGTTGGCAGCGTCCAGTCTGGCCCCAAACCTTTACCACCGCTGATCGGCGGGGGTGCACGGTACGCAGCATCTGATATAGGGGCCTTAATTCGAATAAGGTTTTGGTGGTTCTTATAGTTATACACAGGGACCATAAGGGAATGATATTAGTAATAACAAGAATGTGGTTTTGGGCTTATTCTAGTAAAATTACACAGGGACCATAAGGGAATGATACTAGTAATACTTCCGACCCCTAGAGCCTGACTGTCCCATCAAGAGCATGTAAGGGGCTTTAATAATTCGAACAGGGTTTTGGGGGGGGGGGGGGGGGGTATTGTAGCATACTTACAAAGGGACCATAAGGGAATAATATTAATAATAATTCCGACCCCTAGATTACACTGGAGCCTGACTGTCCCATCAAGAGCATGCAAGTAACAAAAATCGTGGGGGGGGGGGGGGGGGGTTATAGCAGGACGCGAAGGGGCCAAGGTCCTTACATGAAGACTGTGTGCCTCTGCTATCCTTAGGGTTTAGGGTTTAGGGTTTAGGGTTTAGGGTTTAGGGTTTAGGGTTTAGGGTTTAATTAGGGTTTAGGGTGCCGACTCACAATTTGTGTCTATGCACACGGAAGGCCGGGCCTTGACATCCATAATACGCTTCAGCATGTCGTTGTTGGTCTTCCCCTGGCACTCAAAAGCATGTGCTCTTGGGCTCACAGTCAGGACCTAAAAGCACTGGCCATAACCCCAGAACCCCGTACCCTAAGGCCCTGAACCCTACATGGTATACCAAAACAGCACCCAAAGCCTACACCCTAAACCCTGGACCCTGCAACCCTAGAACCCTAAACCCCAAACTTTAGAAACCCTCAAGCCTAGAACCTAAATCCTCAATCCTGAGCCCCTGAACCTGGCTTCCTGGAACCCTAACAACCCTGCGAACTCTAGAGCCCTAAACCCCTGAACCCTAATTGCCCTGAACACTAAGCCCCTGAACCCTGAAGCCGCCAAACCCTGCACGAATTCACTCCCCGAATCTGGCGGGGTGGGCGGGGGGGGTTAGGGTTTCGTGTTGGGTTGAGGGTTCAGGGTTCGGGTTTGGGGTTTAGGTCATTGGCATAGAAGGGGAACTATCCGCTTGAAACTTGCCCTAGATTCAGCCAGACACTTCAACCAGAGATAGTGCGACAAAAGCAAAACCGACTCTAGCGCGACCGATTCTTCCGCTCAACCCTGAACCCTAAAACCCAAATCCCAAACCCTAAACCCCAAACCCTAAACCCCAAACCCTAAACCCTAAGCCCTAGGCTCCAAACCCTAAACCCTAAACCCCAAACCCTAACACCCTAAACCCCAAACCCTAAACCCCAAACCCCAAACCCCAAGAACCGGGACCTGGAACAGCGTCTTCCCGGTGAAGATCTCGTAGAGCGTGCAGGCCAGTGCCCATACATCCACCGGGATGCCATACCTGGGGTTTAGGGTTTAGTGGTTGGGGTTTAGGGTTTAGGGTTTGGGGTTTGGGGTTTAGGGTCTAGGGTTTGGGGTTTGGGGTATAGGGTTTAGGGTTTGGGGCTTGGGGTTTAGGGTTTGGGGTTTGGGGTTTAGGGTTTGGGGTTTGGGGTTTAGGGTTTGGGGTTTAGGGTTTGGGGTTTAGGGTGTTAGGGTGTTAGGGTTTGGGGTTTAGGGTTTAGGGTTTGGAGCCTAGGGCTTAGGGTTTAGGGTTTGGGGGTTAGGGTTTGGGGTTTAGGGTTTGGGGTTTCGGGTTGATCTGCCCAAGGCTTCGTTTATAGTAGCTACAGTTGCGACCGCAGTCTCTTCTCTCTTTTTTTCTCGAAGTGTGCCCTTCATAGCATACGACAACCAAGAATCGATGCCCCGCAACCTCAAATCGGCTCGGGAAGCCTCCTAAGAAGCCTTCTTGCAAAACCCCTCCCCCTGATAGGGGGGAGGGGGGCATGAATATTAGGGGGAGGGGATTAAGACAGTTTCGAAAAGTTGTCAGTATCTACAAGCTTCTGCCAGTGCAGACGCCAAAAAGGGGGAGAGACCATGTGGACACGCAAGAGCGCCCAATGGATTCAGAGCACAAACCCTCAGAGCCCGAAGCCCAACAGCGAAGGGTTTAGGGTTTAGGGTTTAGGGGTTAGGGCTAGGGCTAGGGTGTAGGGTTTAGGGTTTAGGGTTTAGGGTTTGGGGTTTGGGGTTTAGGGTTTAGGGTTTAGGGTTTAGGGTTTAGGGTTTAGGGTTTAGGGTTTAGGGTTTAGGGTTTAGGGTTTAGGGTTTAGGGTTTAGGGTTTAGGGTTTAGGGTTTAGGGTTTAGGGTTTAGGGTTTAGGGTTTGTTTCGAATCTCGCGAGCCCTCACTCGATCTACGGCCGCTTCCTCTACACGTTGGAAGCCCTTTGAGCCGACACACAAGTCTAAGACTAAGGAAGCGTGTCGAAGACACTTCTAGACCCAGGAGTACCCCCCCTGAACCCCTTCCCAAAGGACTCTGTAACTCTATAACCGAAGCCCGGAGACTCTAAACCGATAAAAGCTCCCTCAACCTTGTCAAACTACGGGGTCTCCGAATTACAAACCTACTCCTAGGGCAACAAAAACCTTAAACCTAAACCCTAAAACCCCAAACCCTAAACCCTCAACCCTAAAACCTAAACCCTAAACCCTAAACCCTAAACCCCAAACCCCAAACCCTAAACCCTAACCCCCCCCCCCCCTTTTGGAGGCCGTGGGTGCTCGCAGCCGAGGATGACTTCGGCTGGCCGGTAGAAGCGACTCCTTCGGCTGCCACTTGCTTATGTAAAGCAAATTCCTGGAACTGCTGCTTGCTTGTAAGAAATTCCTGTTTCTACTGTTTGCTTAAGAACCCCCGTTATACTCATCAAAATAGTAATAGTGAGAATAATGATTGCAAGAACAATTGTGATAATAATAATAACATATTTAATTAACTAATAATTAATGAATTAATTGGACAATCCATTTATAATAATAATTATTATTAGTATGGTTATTATTATTATTTTCCTCATACGGGCAATATAGGGACAATTATGCTATATCTTTCAGGGTTCTGAAGCAAAAATAGTGGTGAGGAACCTAAAGACCTGATAAACCCTAAAGCCTTAAAGACAGGTTAAGGTTTAGGGTTTAGGGTTTAGGGTTTAGGGTTTAGGGTTTAGAGTTTAGGGTTTAGGGTTTAGGGTTTAGGGTTTAGGGTTTAGGGTTTAGGGTTTAGGGTTTAGGGTTTAGGGTTGATGGTTGAGGGTTGAGGGTTTAGGTTTTAAGGTTTAAGGCAGTTTAAGGTTTAGGGTTGGGATGCTCCCCTTCTACTAACAGTCCTTAATAGGGACTTTCGTCCCCCCGATGATAATCCCCATTAAGGGCTGTTAGTATAACGGCCAACTCTCCAACATAAGACCTTATAAACCCTACATACACCCTAAAACCTTATAAGCCTTCTAAACCCTGAAGCCCTTAAATCCCCAAAACCCTACCTGCGCTATTTGCTTACTGAAGAACCCCCCCTTCCAAAAAAAAAAACAAAGGATCATAATCCCCATATTGTCCTTAGAAAGAAGAAGTTCTTTCTTTTCCTTGGGGAGGGTTTAGGCCCAAAACAAAAAGATCATAATCCCGTTTTATGTTGCCCTTATAAGCAAGTTTGCTTTCTATTTTTCTTTTGTGGGTTGGGGGGGGGTTCTGAAGCAACTAGCGGTCGACATGAGCCACTTTTCACCCCCAGGGCTTCGGCTTTTTTTGGGGTGCAGGGACGAAGCTCTCGAAGCCCTCTGGAATCAAGAAGAAGCCGGTACGGTAAGGGAGAACATAAGAATATCTCAATGAACCCAGGAGTAATCTAGGCATTGAAGGGTGCCCTTTTTGATTTCAAAGGGCTTGTCAGGTAACCTAACCCTAAAAAGAAAGGAATAACGGCCTGTTCTCGGTCATACATAACCTAGGCTTTGGCAACTGGAAAGTTGGGACCTGGGGACGGGGGGAAGGGGGGAGTGTTCGCAATTGGGGCGCCTTACCAGGTTTGCCGGTGTTGCAGGCGTAGGGAAAATTTGGCTTAGGCTTGGGGGGGGCGGGGGGTGGGGGGGTGGCGAGTGCCCCACGCCAAGCCCACCTAAACCCTAAGAACCCTGAGGGGTTTTGAGAGGGCTTTTTCCTAAACCCTAAAACCCACTCTTTTTTCACAACCCTCGCTAGAAGCGCAACAAAAAGCAAGGCTAATGCCAGTGCCCAGGTTCATCAGGTATGGCGAGACGCCCACGTCCTTCCTGGCTGGGGGGTTGGCATTGTAGTGGGGAACTTAGGTAGAGACTGAGGCAAGGAGGCACCCTTTCCCTTAACAGGTCTTTTAAGGGGGGAGCAAAGGCACCAAATTCAGGTGCTAGATAGGGTTTTCAGGTACTGTACCTATATAAATTGCCCTATCGCCTAACAACCAAGAACCTCGGGCGTTGATGACTAAATTGTTGAGAGAGTTGCTGCTGTGCGCCCACAAACCTTAAGGTGTCAATGGGGTTTAGGGTTTAGTAGGTCTCACGGATCCTGTTACTGTACACCCTGCGCCCGAGGTGGTGCCCATGAAACAAGAAACCCTAAACCCTGAACCACCCGAAACCCTGAACCCCAAACCCTAAACCACCCTACACCCTAAACCACCCTAAACCCTAAACCCTACACCCTAAACCCTAAGCCCGAAATTGTCCCAAGCGGCTGCTCCACGGCGGTGCCGAAGTCACAGAGCTTGACGATGCTGTTGTCCTGACGTCGTGGGGTTTGATTGGCATGCCTTAGGGTTCAGGGCTAGGATGGCCCTTAACCCCCCCGGTTTAGGGTTTAGGGTTTTTAGGGTTAGGGTTTAGGGTTTAGGGTTCAGGGTTTAGGGTTTAGGGTTTAGGGAGTTTAGGGTTTAGGGTTCTCAAAAAGACTGAGGATCCCTCAGACGCCCTCAAACCCTAAGACCCTAACCCCCCAATCCCCAAAACCCTAAACCCCTAAACCCTAAACCCTAGCCCTAAACCCTAAACCCGAAAACATGGCTAAGGCACGCGAGAGGGGGAGCCACTGGGGCCGCGCGCAGAATTTGAGGTCAAGGATTGAGGCGCTTCTACTATAGGGGCCTTAAAGAGTCGAATAGGGCTTAGTTTCGGGGTGCCTGTTGTAGTATAAATATAAATGGACTCTAGGGGAGTACTCTTCATAATTATTCCGATTCAGGCTTGACATTGGGGCTTTATTTGGGGTAGGGGGGCCCTCAACCCTAAGTCACCCAAAACCTAAGCCGAATGTAGGATGCCACGGCTTTGTGCAGGCGCGCCGCTTGGCTAATTAGAATGTTGTCTGGCTTCAAGTCGGCGTGGATGATATTGAACCTTGCACGAGACACATTAGCAATCAAAGCCTGTAAAGCCTGTAAAGCCTGTAAACCCTGTAAGCCCTGTAAGGCCCAAAAAACCCAGAACACGATGAGCTTCCAATAGAGGGCCAGGCAAACTAAGAAGAAACGCCCAGCTGCTGCTTTCAGCAACAGAAGCAACTCGAAGAAATCTAGGGCACTGAATAATTAGAATAGGGTCTTGGGCGTTGTCTTTGCATAATTACAAAGGGACCATAAGGAAATATTATTCGTAATTACTATTCCGACCCCTATAGTATGTCTTCCACGCCAACCTGTATCCCTTGTTTTTTTTTTTGGGGGGGGGTTAGGGACAGAGGGCTTGAGTGATATGAGGGCTTAAGGTTTAGGGTTTAGTGTTTAAAGTTTTAAAGTTTAGGGCTCAGGGCTTAGGGTTTAGGGTATAGGGTTTAGGAGCTTCAGGGTTTCGGGATGAGAGGGTGCGGGGGCTGTGTCGAGGCTTGCCAGGGGCGTCGCTACCACAACGTGCAGGGTGGGGGTAGGCCTTAGGGCTTGGGGTTTAGGGTTCAGGGTGGTTTAGGGTTTAGGGTGGTTTAGGGTTGAGGGTTTCGGGTTTAGGGTTTGGGGTTTAGGGGTTGAAGGGGTTTAAGGGTTTAGGGGTTTAGGGGTTTAGGGTGTAAGGCTATGATGGGGCCTTACAACTTTGGCAGGCGAGATGCTTGTGCATATGGCGGACGCCAACGAGCAGCTGCTTTGTGTACGCCTCGTGGCTCAAGAGACTGTGCAGGAGCGTGCAGTGCACGTCTTGCACAACAAAATCGGCGTTGGGCTTCTGCAGACTGTGACCCCTAAGCCCGAAGACCCTAAAACCCTAAAGCCCTAAACCCTAAAGCTAAAACCCCAGGCTTCGCGAACCAAAAGCCTCAACCTTTAAACGCTGAAGCCTCTAATGCTGGAGTGGGCTGGCCCTAAGAACGACTTAATTTTCTATGGGCTGGCGGGAATCGTATTGGAGCCCCAAGGACTGCGAAACTTACTCCGAAGGAACACCGGTAAACACTGTAGGGTTTAGGCTTTCGGGTTTGGGGCTTGAACCCTAAACCCTAAACCCTAAACCCTAAACCCTAAACCCTAAACCCTAAACCCTAAACCCTAAACCCTAAACCCTACACTCTGAGAATTCTTGGGTGCCAATGGGCAGGGGCATTTCACAAGAGCAAAAGGAGATCCGCCGGCAACCAGGTTTAAACCAAGTTTGCTGTTGCTCTTTCTCTCTTGTTGATGTCTTTTTTTTTTTTTTTTTTTTGGGGGGGGGGGGGGGGAAGGTTAGGGTTAGGGTTAGGGTTTAGGGTTTAGGGTTTAGGTTTAGGTTTTAGGGTATAGGGTTTCGGGTTTAGGTTTAGGGTTTAGGGTTTAGGGTTTAGGGTTTAGGGTTTAGGGTTTAGGGTTTAGGGTTTCGGGTTTCGGGTTTCGGGTTTCGGGTTTAGGGTTTAGGGTTTCGGGTTTAGGGTTTAGGGTTTCCCCTAAATGCGGGAAGAAGGGCACCACTGGCATCTGAGTGCAGGGTTTACGGCTTCGTGTCCTTTGGGGCCGCCCAAGACATAAACCCTAAACTTCAACATTATGTAAAGTTAAAGCCCTAAACCTTAAACCCTAAACCCTGGATCCTAGTGTTAGACAAAGGGGTTTTCCGTCCGGTCGATGCATGGGACAGTGTTTCTGAAACACGGCGCCAGAGAAGGCGGGGCGACAAAAGGATGTTTAAACGAGGCAGCCGGCTATGCTCCCGTGAATTTAAGTGGGTAGAGGCTAACAAGGAGGGTTTGTTTTCACCGTCTACGTCTTCAACAGTGGTCAGATTGATCCCATTGCTCTTCCTGCTGTGGCGCATGTGTAAACCCACCCAAAGAGCCCAATAAGCCCTAATTAAGGAATATACCTTAATTCAGAGAGGTATCTTTACCATGATTTAAGGTGTATTCCTTAATTGAGGGGTATGGGGCTCTTTGGGCACATCTCATGCTTTCCGAAGAGGAAGCTGCGGGCTGGGAGAGCCTGAAAATCCTGAACCATGCGCCCTCTTGGGCTTGGTTTAGGGTTTAGGGTTTAGGGTTTAGGGTTTAGGGCTTAGGGTTTAGGGTTTAGGGTTTAGGGTTTAGGGTTTAGGGTTTAGGGTTTAGGGTTTAGGGTTTAGGGTTTAGGGTTTAGGGTTTAGGGTTTAGGGTTTAGGGTTTAGGGTTTAGGGTTTAGGGTTTAGGGTTTAGGGTTTAAGGTTTAGGGTTTAGGGTTTAGGGTTTACCCAAACCCCGAACAGGGTCTCTTAGGGCTTCAGTGTCTTGTGGCCGCGGCCTTGACGACCGGCAAGGATATTCCCCGGTTCTTGGTGTACCTGGGCGGGGGTGTAGGTCACCAAAAATTTCTTGATATTCTACCAACCATGAAGGGTTTAGGGTTTCGGGTATATAACGCCGGAAAGGAACTACAGAGGGGGGGAGGCGTAGGTAAACCTTGGAACCCTAAGCAGATAAACCGCTCTACGCCCGTGGGTTTGGGGGGGCTGCTGTGCTTACCCTCAAAGTTTGAAAATTAACAACCACCAAATCCCCAACGAGAAGTCGTTGAACCTTGCCTCTCTTCAAATCTGCACACCCTAAACCCTCCCCTTAGAACCTCCATTTCGATTTTTTTGGGTTTATCCAAATAAACCCTAAACCCTAAACCCTAAACCCTAAGTCCTAAACCCTAACCCTACAGCCCAAACCCCTCATCCGAGGCGCTTCTTCAGCGCGCCGCGCAGGTCCTCTGATAGGGTTCTTAAGGGGTGGTAGGTACCTAGGGGACCTTAGGGAAGCTTAGGGAGATTTAGGGAGGATTTGGAAGGGAACCTTGGGTTGCATACCCCCCTTGAACCCCCTTCCCTTAAGAACACCAGAATCCTCGGCCATGCACTCGAAGACCAGGAAGATGTGCTTGCGGTAGTAGAAGGTTTCCTGGGGGGCGCGTTTGGGTTCAAGGGTTTAGGGTTTAGGGTTTCGGGTTTAGGGTTTCGGGTTTAGGGTTTAGGGTTTAGGGTTTAGGGTTTAGGGTTTAGGGTTTAGGGTTTAGGTATAAACCCTAAACCCTAAACAAACCGTGCAAGTTCGACGGTTGCTTGGTTATCCCCGCTGAAGCCCAAATCCTCAGCCCTAACACCCCCCCAATGCCCCAAAGCTCGTGGGTTTAGGGTTTAGGGCTATAGGCTTATAGGGTTTTTAGGGTTTCCCCCTGTCGGCGCTGCATCCATGGCTCGATCAGCCTGATGATGTGCCTGGCGCGAGAGGAGTCGGGAGAAGGCGTGCCTAGTCCGAGGCAGCCCCTAGGCAATTTGCGCAACAAGCCCGGAAGCCCCAAACCCGGAACTCGTCATCCTAAGCCCTGAACTTCGTGAAATTGTAGACTTCATGAACCTCGTGAGCCCATACACCCCAAAACCCCCTAGTTAGCCTCATGAAACCGAGCCGGCCTCTTGTTGGCCTTATCCGCATTGTTCAGCGTCTGGAGGATCTCAACTTCCCTCTCAGCGGCCTCCCGGTGGAAGTGGCTGGACAAAAAACAACTCACTTCCATCCCCCTCAACCCTCAGCCCTAGACCCTATCCCCCTGAACCCTACACCCAAATCCGTAGTCGCTTTAAGATGTTGATGGCTTCGTAGCGGTTTCTTAATGATTTAATGGTTTTGTGGAATATACATACATATATATATATACACATATATATATACACACATAATGAAGACTTTGTACGCATATTCCAGGATACAAAAACTACCGTCGCAAACAGGCACGTGGAAGCAAACTGTCGGGTATACCGGCCATGCTTATGGGACTTTCCATGGGGTCCAGGAAGGCCTTCTTGGGGGAAAGGGGGCAGGAAAGCCTGTGCGGCCGTAGAGGTTTAGGGTGTTGGGTGAGGTTTAGGCTCAGACGCTCTAAACCAGACACTCCCTGCCCAAGACTCGCTTCGTTCCACGCCAGCCTTCTTCATCATATCGTTGGAGCGGATGATCTTGAGTGCCACTAGCGGCTCTCCTTTCGAAACGGATACCCCCAAGCCCTAACTTAGGCCCTAAACCCTAAACACTGAACCCTGAACCCTACAGGATTGACTGGGGTGGAGCTAGTTTTGAGGGGGCTGCCTACAAGCACTGAGCTTCCATGGGCTACGTAGGGTCGGTGGCCCTAAACCCTAAACCCTAAACCCTAAACCCTAAACCCTAAACCCTAAACCCTAAACCCTAAACCCTAAGCCCTAAGCCCTAAGCCCTAAGCCCTAAGCCCTAAGCCCTAAGCCCTAAACCCTAAACCCTAAACCCTAAACCCTAAACCCTAAACCCTAACCCTGAACCCTAAACCTAGGGCGTCGGGTTTTAAGTTAGCCCATGGAACGTTTAGCCCAGCCTTGGATTATTCCAGGGTCCAGGGCACGGCCTACAATGGAGTTTCAGGGCCGACGCCGCGGCCGCAAGAGTTGAGGCTACATAAGGCACGTAGGGTTTTTGGAGGATTTAGACTTTATAAACGGGCTTAGGGTTTAGGGTTTAAGGTTTAGGGTTTAAGTTTTGGGGTTTGGGCACTTTAGGGTTTAGGGTCTAGGGTTAGAGTTTAGGGTTAACATAGGGCTTATAAGTTGGTTCTGCCAGTTGGTCGTGCAATGCGGATCGACTGCTTCATAGCTCTTCGCGAGCGCTCAGAAGACGAAAGTGTCTTCTTCTTCGTCTTCGGTCCCCGCTTCAACTTGGGACGTCCCCACACCAGTCCTGTGTCACTAGGACAGTGTTCATGGCGCCTCGGCCAACGGATGGGAATTGCTTGCCCACTTCCTTGGCCTTCTTGTGCACGGGCTTTGGGGTTCGCGAAGCTGGCCGACATGCCGCCTTTCGCAGCCCGGAAGCGCGCCCCGGAGTAGCGCCTATCAGTGTTGAAGAGCCGGAAGAGCGCTACTTTGCCATCCCGGCGAAGTGCTCTAAGTGTGGTCTCGTGCTCCACACCCGCATAAGTTGACGGGATCCACGTGAGTTGCTCAGCATGACAAGTTGTCTGAGCGGAGGACGACCACGCCGCAGGCGAAGAGGATGCAAGCAAAAGCTGGTCCTTCTGGAATCCACGGAGTCACTGCAGCTCTGCGCACCGCCGCCGCAGGGCGGCCTGGGCCCTGTGTGTCCGCACTGTCACGGAAGAAAGAGGCGTGGAGCGGCCGGGCTGCACCCCAGTCCAGCCCTTCCTCCCAATGGCACGTGGCCGGAAGTCAAAGGCAACAGGATTCCCTGCCCAAGCCCTGTGGCAGAAGGAGGCCAGAGCGCTCCTTTTCCGGGTGTAGACCAGCCCTGGCAGCCCAGGAGAAGACAATGTTGCGGACGGACTTGCGCCGCAAAGTCCGCTCGCCTCCCGCAACACAAACGGCTGCATGGTGGCTGATGCAAAACGGTGTCACATTTGGGACACCATGTGTCCTCGGCCGCGTCAGGCACGCCCAACCGAAAGCGAAGCTCTGCTACGAAGGTTGCTTTCTCAAAGCGCGTGGGGCCAGAAGGCAACGCGTCCAGGAATGCACTGGCGCCTGGCCCAGACTCAGTTGGTTACCCTAACTTTTCCAGTTATTTTATAATCGTCAGGTCCAGACATGTACCATATTGAGCATTAGGCTCTGTGCATAGACTTGGCCCAACGTCGCAGTCGTAGTCGCACACCCATCTGTGAAGTGCGAAAGACGAGAGCAATGATTAGGCATTTTGGGTTCAGGCTGTTCTGCCCGAAGCCCTAAACCCTAAGCCGTAAAGCCTAAACACTTAGGGTTTAAGATTTATAGGGTTGGGAGGCGAAATCCTAAGCACTTGAAAGCCCTTGAACCCTGGACCCTTGAGGCCCCTATGAACCCAGGGTTTGGGGCTTAGTGTTTAGGGTAGACCAACCCTGAACCCCACCCCAAACCCCAAACCCCAAACCCCAAACCCCAAACCCCAAACCCCAAACCCTAAACCCTAAACCCTAACCCCCTAAAAATCCAGGCAGATGCCCCCGCCCGGGGCCTTCGTTCTTGGTGTCCTTGGCTTTCACCACGTTAGAGAAGACGCCGCGGCCGCTGACCGTGTCCTGCGGTGGGCCCTCGTAAGCCCTCAGGGTTTACGTTTTAATTCGGGTTTGGGGTGTACACCCTAAACCCTTAACCCTAACCCCAAACCCCCAAGACTTTCTCAACCAGAAGCCCTCAAGCCACGACAAATCCCCAAGCTCCCAACACGGGGGGACCCCATTCTTCCCTGCTTAACATAAGCTAATTATTGGGCACCTAAACCCTAAACCCGAAACCTGTGATGGTTGAGGGCTCTCAGAAGCACACCTGGGCCCCCCAACCCATGTCTTGTTCGCGCTTTGCTGGTTTGGGGTTTAGGGTTTAGGGTTTGGGGTTTGGGGTTTGGGGTTTGTGGTTTGGGGTTTAGGGGTTTAGGGGGGGCGGCCTTCGAGTTTATATGGGGCTGTCATCGTTAGGGGCCCGCCCGAAAGGCGGCATTCCCAAAAAATCTACGACCGACGTAGGTAGGGAATATTAGGGAATCTCCTCAACCCCGAAATCCCAGGCCCTCAACCCCAAACCCCAAACCTTAAACCCTAAACCCCAAACCCCAAACCCTCAACCCCAAACCCTAAACCCTAGACCGGAAACCCCAAACCCTAAACCCCAAACCCTAAACACTAAGCCCCAAACCCCAAACCCTAAACCTCAGGTCCTGCACCAGGTAGCGCTCTTCCAGGAGCTCGCCCACCTTTGCCGGCTCGGGCTTGACCAAACCAAAGAATAGGGTTTAGGGTTTAGGGTTCAGGGTTCAGGGTTCAGAGTTCAGGTTCAGGGTTCAGGGTTCATGGGTTTAGGCTTTAGGGTTTTGGGTTTAGGGCCGTTTAGGGTTTAGGGTTTAGGGTTTAGGGTTTAGGGTTTAGGGTTTAGGGTTTAGGGTTTAGGGTTTAGGGTTTAGGGTTTAGGGTTTAGGGTAGTAAGCCATAGGAGTTGGGGGGCCGTTGTGGGCGGGTAGGGTGGAAGGGCGCTGGGGTTTAGGGTTAGGGTTTTTGGGTTTTGGGTCGTTTGGGTTTAGGCGTTACGGTAGTGCTTAATGCACAAGCCTAAGCCCTAAACCCTAAACGCTACATGAGAGTTCCGGGCTCAGGGTTGGAGACCCATGCAGTCGGACGTAGCCTGCGCGCAGTAGTAGCCCTCCTCGTCGTCCCAATCCTGCAGATGGTTGGGCAGGAGGTCTGGGGTGTGGGTGAACCCTGAACCCTGAACCCTGAGCCCTGAACCCTGAACCCTAAACCCTAAACCCTAAACCCTAAACCCTAAACCCTAAACCCTAAACCCTGAACCCGAAGCCCTCAACCAAAAAACTAAGTCAAGAGCTAGCTCCTCTAGTGTAGAGCAGGGTCCAAGGCAGCCCGGGACTTGAAGCACGAATTCCTGGACCTACCGAAGAGCCTCAGCACGGAACCCTACACCTCCTTTATCGGGCTCTTAAGGGAGGGGGGTTCAAGTAATACTCTACTAATACTCCCTAAAGCTCCCTAGTACCTACCCCCTTGAACCCCTCCCTTAAGAACCCTATGACTCTTCCCCAAATCCCTACCTGGAGGTTCAGGGCACTTACAAAACTATGAGAAGTGTAGATATAACCCACATGTGAGGTCCCTTAAGTACACCTCTCTAGACGTACGCAACGTAGACTCACTTAAGCCCACACTTACCTCCGTAATCAACCCTAAATCCCAAACCCTAAGCTCTAGAACCCCCAACCCCTGAGTTTGGCTTCGGGCTTAGGGTATTGGGTGTACAAGTAGGTCTGGCGACGGATGCGACTTAGGATTTCGAATTCAAGGCGAATCGTGGCCCTAAACCCTAAACCCTAAGCCCCAAACCCAAACCCTAACCCCTAGACCCTAAACAAAGCCCTTCAAGGACCAACTTCTAGCTTGGGAGTCTTTAGAGCTCAGGGTTTATACCCCAAATTCCAACCCCGGATGGATTTTTGAAAGTACTAAGCGCGCGGCCCGAAACCCTAAACCCCAAACCCTAAACCTAAACCCCTAAACCCAGAAACCTAAATGTCACCAACTTCAAGATCCCGAAGCCCTGAGCGTCTGGGCTTAAACCCTAAACCCTAAACCCTAAAACCTAAACCCTAAACCCCCTGTAGATCCGAGGCTCTTCTGTGGACGCGCCCGTGGTGGCGATGCTCTGCATCCGCTGACGTCCAGCCTTCATTGCGCGTGATGAAGGAGAAGGGGGTTAGGGCTAAGGGTTTTAAACCCTAAACCCTAAATAGGGTTTAGGGTTTAGGGTTTAGGGTTTAGGGTTTTGGTAGATGCCCCTCTATTGTAGGGCTTAGAGCTTGGGGTTTAGGGCTCTTACTGGCGCTTAGTCCTCGGGATCTTAAGGAGATGTAATGTGGGCCCACAACAATCAGCGTCGGAATGCTGTGGAATCTGATTGGTAGGCATGCCCCGTGCAGCCACGGTCCCGCACGACACTGCTCTCTCCCAGAATACAGTTTTTGTCGCACGTTGAGCTGAATCCTGGAAGCAGGTTTAGGGTTTAGGGTTTAGGGTTTAGGGTTTAGGGTTTAGGGTTTAGGGTTTAGGGTTTAGGGTTTAGGGTTTAGGGTTTAGGGTTTAGGGTTTGGGGGCAGTCTTCGAAAGCCATCTCTTCTGCTGCCTCATGCATCTCGTGGCCACACAATGGACTTGCAGGCGTTGCATTCAGCCTTCTCAGATGGCTGAGCGATGAAGCACTTCAGCGCCTTCCTGGCCGATGTTACTTGCGAACACGCCCTAAACCCTAAACCCTAAACCCTATAAACCCTAAACCCTAAACCCTAAACCCTATTATCCCTGAAGCCCAAAGCCTCAATTTTCCAAAAGGAGAGAATCAGGTCTCTCGTTGGTATGCCCGGAACCCAAAACATACCCAACTGCAAACCAAACCCTCAAAGACCCTGGAACAGAAGTCCTCGGCCCTGGAGGTTAAGGGTTTAGGGTTTAGGGCCTAGGGTTGAGGGTTTAGGGCTTAGGGTTAAGGGTTTAGGGCCTTTTAGGGGTCCACGCACCTATGTGGGACGTCTGAGGGGTTAGAGCACCACGGGATCAGCACTAGACCGAAACCAGCACCGAAACCAGGCGCACAGAATTTCAGGCTATCCCTACACGACCTAAAGCCCCAAATCAGTCTGGCAATGCTTTCCCTATCAGCCATTCCAACCAAACCCTGAAAGTGCAGGTGAACAAAGCCCTAAACCTTAAAACCCTAAACCGCTGAAGCCCCAAACCCCAAAACCGAAACCCCTTAACCCATAAACCCTGCAAGCTCCGTACCCCACGAAGCCTCAACCCAGGTCAACCACTAAGCCTTAAACCGTAAACCGTCAACCATAAACCCTAAATAAGTCCTAAACGCTAAGCCCGAAACCCAACAAGAAAATCACCAAAGACAGCCCTGAACAAAAAAGAACGCCCCCCCCCCCCCCCCCGCACCAAAACAAGAAAAATAAATCCACCCGCCTTCAGCTCCTTTGCCTGAGTGGCTGTTGTTTTTTGGGACTTGGGGGAGCGGCTTGCTTGTGGGTTTGAAGCCAGGAAACAACCCTTGGATATTTAGGATTTCGGGTCTAGGGATTCCACACCTCCGGACTGTCTGGGCAAAGCCTGCCTTGTGCGTGGGACTTCGGTTCCTTCTGCCTTCGACCAGCAATCCAATGGCATTTGGGGCTTTTTAACGTTCCAAAACCCTAAACCCTAAATGGCTTTTTGCCGCTAAAAAAACTTAAATGGTACCATCTTCCTTCTTCCTCCCCTTTGGCTCCGATGGTGGTCTCACGCCACAGCAACCCTAAACCCTAAACCCTAAACCCAGAACCCATGGGCAATGGACTGCCAAGGCGAAGTGGGGTTCGGGTTTAGGGTTCAGGGATCAGGGTTTAGGGTTTAGGGGTTTAGGGGTTTAGGGTTTAGGGTTTAGGGTTTAGGGTTTAGGGTTTAGGGTTTAGGGTTTAGGGTTTAGGGTTTAGGGTTTAGGGTTTAGGGTTCAGGCTTCAGGCTTCAGGGCTTAGGGTTTGGAGTTTCGTGGGCGTCAGGGCCGAGGGGGGTTTAGAGGCCATACTTGGGCCTTTTTTGGAGGGATAAACTCCAAATCGAAGCCCGAAAGCAACTCCTGTCACCCGTTCTTGCGACGGGTGAGTTCGTAGCTCCAAGTAGGGCCCAGACTTCTTCAGAACCCATTAAAGAAGGCAAAGGACCCTGAACCCTAAACCCTAAACCCGAAACCCTAAACCTAAACCCTAATGTTACGGGACCATGTACCGACCCCCTAGAACATGGGCTTCGGGACGAGCGTGCTTCCCTACGCAGGCGCAAGGTCCTCACACACCTGCCTGCTGTAGGCTGGGACCTCTTGTTTCGGGTTTAGGGTTTAGGGTTTAGGGTTTGGGGTTTGGTTAGCAGGGAATGCGGGACTGAGGTACCCTATAGAAGCCCTGAAAGGGTATATATAGGGGGATATATAGGCTACCTCATTCCCTCATTCCCTACTAAACAACAGTAAGACCTTGGATCTAAAGGATATCAGGTATCGTGGTATCATCTCTGTGGACAAAGAAGCCGACTTGCTTCAACTTGGAGATCTGATGTAGAACAAGGCGGCACGGGGAAAACCACGCTTGGGTGAAAACCCTGTGCTCCACAAAACAGAAGTGCCGTCATGTGTAGCACCGCGACAGAAAGACGTGTGATTCTCACATGGCCAACCCTGCGCAGCAGATAGCCGGATACCCACAGAAAAGACCACTGTTTGGCCGATAAGACTGCAAGTGGCCGGTGAAGATGCAGGAGCTCAAACGATCTGCCTTGAGGTGAGGCTGACACAGAGGCTCAGTCTCCCAACCGCGCCAAGTGTTGCAGGGTGTTTTTTGGCGGGAGGATATGCGTGCGGAGGTCAACCAGCATGTGCGCGCATGTGGAACTGTGGCACTCCAGGAAAGGCAGGGGCTTCATCACAACCCTGGGGCAGTTGTCACGGCCCAAGACCCAGAGCTGCGTGCGCAGGCAAGGACGCAGCATCGACAGCTGTGATCTGGCGGCGCCGCCTCACAGCACGCCCGTTGCCTCTCGCGACTGCGAGTGCCAACTGTTCGAGAAGGCGTGACTTGATCACGGCAGCGTTGGCGCCCTCGGCTGTAGCAACAGCCTCAGAGAGCCGGTGCAGGAAAGCGGGAGCAGACTTGGAGCAACTCTCAGGACGACGGGATGATGGGAAATACCAGCTTGGGCACAAAGGTCACGATGGGAAATACCAGCTTGGGCACAAAGGTCACGTGTGCGGTTGTGTTGGCACTTGTGAAGCGTGTAGGCCTCTGCTCCTGCGGGGGCCTGCCATGTAGCGTCCCAATGACCCGGGCCGGCCTTGCAGGATTGAAGCTTTTCGCCCTCAGCCGACGCTGACACCGAGATCACCCTGTCTGGTCGGGCGCAAGCGCAGCACCAAGTGGATGGTGGAGTCCTTCTGGATGTCGTAGTCCTCTTGGTATATTATAATAAGGGCACCCTTTTTGGGTTGGTTGCTTTATAAGGGAACCCAGAACCCAAAGAAAAAAAAAAGGTAAAGGGTACCACTGGGCTTCCAAGTCCTCCAGGGTGCAGAAGTTCTCCAGCAACTTGCCGGCAAAAACAGCCCGCTGCTGGTCGAAAGGAATGCCATCAATCTTCCCAAGAGCCTTCTCAATGGTGTCACTGCTCGTCACTTGAAGAGACACGGTCCTCCCATCCAAGGTCTTCACAAAAATCTGCATCTCGACAGGTTCACACACCACCAGGTCCATCTGACACTTGTCCTCGATGTGGCAGTCTGCCAAAGATTTATGGCCCTGAAGCCTCCGGCCTTCGAAGATCAGGCTCTGATGATCGGATGGGATGCCTTCCTTCGCCTGGATGTGCCTTTTGACGCTGTCGATGGTGTCATTCGCCTCCACCTGCAAGTCGAACGATTTCCCGGCCAGCGTCTGCACGGTGACCAGCATCGCATGGCTTGATCCTGCCTCTGGAAGTGTGAGACATGTTGAAATCTTTAAGCTTGGTGGGTATCCCCGAAACGACCCCCATGTGCTATGTACATATATATATATATATGCATATATATATATATATATATATATATATATATATATATTTATTTATTTGTATATTTATATATATAGAGAGAGGTAGAGGTAGACAGATGGACCCACCATTCTACACCTGTTTCATGCATGGGAGCCTATGGGCCGTGGTAGGTGGAAGCTCTTGAGCTGTCAGATGTCAGCGGCTGCGGCATGGTGAGCATGGTAAACCACCATCAACCCCCTAAACCCTCAGCCCTAAACCCTAAACCCTAAACCCTAAACCCTAAACCCTAAACCCTAAACCCTAAACCCTAAACCCTAAACCCTAAACCCTAAACCCTAAACCCTAAACCCTAACCCTCCCCCTCCCGAGCTCCTCAAAACCCCTCAGGCCCTCACAACACTATACATAAAGCAACCTCAGAACCCACAATCTTCAACCCGGTTGCCCCTCAAGGGCGAGCGGGGGGGGGGGGTGGTGCGGGGCGGGGGTAGAGGTGAGTGCGCTTTAGGCTGCTCAAGGGTTTATAAGGGTTTAGGGTTTTAGGCGCAGTTGGGGCTCTCTGAGGTTTGGAAACAGAGCAGGGCCTTCCAGGATTCAGTTTTAGTGGTTAACCCTAAACCCTAAACCCTAAACCCTAAGCCCTGAAGGAGGGCATCGACCCTGAAATGCGGAGTGCGGGCCGGCGACGTCCTGATTGAGATCGAACATATCCTTGGCTTGCTAGGATGAGCCATCTTGGGAAGGAGACTAAACCCTAAAACCCTAAAACCCTAAAACCCTAAAACCCTAAAACCCTAAAACCCTAAAACCCTAAAACCCTAAAACCCTAAAACCCTAAAACCCTAAACCCTAAACCCTAAAACCCTAAAACCCTAAAACCCTAAAGCCCTAAAACCCTAAAACCCTAAAACCCTAAAACCCTAAAACCCTAAAACCCTAAAACCCTAAAACCCTAAAACCCTAAAACCCTAAAACCCTAAACCCTAAACCTTTCGGATCCTTCCATGAGAGGCTAAGCCCTAAATCCTCAACCCTCGAAAAAAGGGACCTGCTCTGAAGTAGAGGTTTGGTACGGGCCTACAGAGGGCGATCCCCGCAAAAGACGCCCAAACTGCCGCAGATGTCAGGGGTTAGGGTTTAGGGTTTAGGACGTTTAGGGTTTAGGGTTTAGGGTTTAGGGTTTAGGGTTTAGGGTTTAGGGTTTAGGGTTTAGGGTTTAGGGTTTAGGGTTTGGGGGCATCCAGCCGCAGCGCATTTCAGGAGATTCCAGGTGGAAAGTTGCCCGGTGTGTACCTTTACGGAAGCCTTATACACGGGGCGTCTCTGGGGTAGAGTTCTGTTTTTATTCCTACAGTAGCAGCTGGAAGCCCCGTATCTACGCCAACAAATTGGACGGGACCATATACACACTGCCCAACCGCCGCAATATGAACCCTAAACCCTAAACCCTAAAACCTAAACCCTAGAGAGGGAAGATTAGCAACCCGAAGCCCTGAGCCCCAAGCCCTGTTTAAGGGTTCAGGGTTTAGCTGTACCAGCAGGGTGGTTTTGAGCACAGGTTGAGGAAGTTTGGCCGTGCTTAGGGCTTGGGGTTTAGGGTTTGGGTTTTGTGTTAAGGCTTGAGGGTTGAGGGAGGACACATTCAATTCAAGTATTAAAGGGCGCAAGTGTCAGAATCCGCAAGGTACGGTGAGCAAAGCCTAGCTTACTGCATATTCACCATAGTCTACTATGTGCTAACAATATTCTTCCTCATACGGGCAAGATAGAGATTATCGTCTTTCAAACGTTGGGCGTTCTTCAGCAAGTAGTAGCAAGAACCCCCATAATAATCCACGAGCCCTATGTAACCCCCCCACCCCAGCCAAAAGTGTTCATCTCTCTGCTGCCTCGGTACTCCGCCACCACCGTCGTCTTCATGACCCGCCGTCGCCTAAGCTGCGCTCAAGCTAGGAAGCCGGGCAGCCACAGGGTTTAGGGTTTAGGGTTTAGGGTTTAGGGTTTAGGGTTTAGGGTTTAGGGTTTAGGGATACTGGTAACCCTCAGGGTCCATATACCTATAGAGTGTATACTTGGGCCTCAAAGGGATGCCCATGTAATAGCTTTAGGGTCCAAGTATATACTATAGGGGTACATGGACCCTCAGGGTAAGGGTTAAGGGATTGAAGTTGATTAGGGGAAACTCTAACAAGATAAGAGGGCAATGTAGGGATTGTTCCCTTGATTTTTTGAGGGGTTTTAAGCGGAGAGCAGTAAAACCCAGAAACCGCTGTCAAGGGGACATCAAAACTAAACCCTAAACCCTAAACCCTAAATCCATACCCTAAACCCTCCCTAAACCCTAAACCCCAAGCTCTAAGCCCTAAACCCTAAATTGATGGTTCGGCGCAGGAGCCCCCTCGCCGGTATTCGCGCCATCGCCCTCGGCCTCCACATTGTGAGAAACTCCCACCCCCTCTCCCTAAGTCCCTAATCCCTAAACCCTAAACCCTAAACCCTAAACCCTAAACCCTAAACCCTAAACCCTAAACCCTAAACCCTAAACCGGGCTTTTGGGCCTCAGAGTCTAGAATCTAAGAATTGTCTATCGCTCTCTCTCTCTCTCCCTCTCTCGCTGCCTGTCTAATTTCCTTTGTTTCTGTCTTTCTGTCCTCCCCCGGCAGGCAAACCTCGCCTCAAGTCCTCCAGAAAATCCCACCCAACCCCCGGACCAGTAGGACTAAAATCATAGGTTTCAGGGTTTTAGTTAAGGGTTTAGGGTTTAGGGTTTAGGGCCGCCTATCCTGCGCCTGACTTTCACTATTGGAGCCCCCTGTGTGGCCGGCGCCTAGGGTGGTGAGACAGTTCGCATGGGCGCACTTCGTCCCAAAGCCGAATCTTAGCTCAATGTCAGTACGAACTTGGGCCTAAGCGTCTTCCCTCTCCCTCTCTCTTTCTCGCTCTCTCTCTCTCTCTCTCTCTCTCTCTCTCTCTCTGTCTCTCTATCTTTCTCTCCATCTCTCTCTCTCTCACTCTCTGTCTAGACTGGCAGAACAAACGCAGGAGCCGAGAACTTTCTCTCTCGGCAAGACCCTATAGGCATACTTGCTCATACTTGTATCCCGACGCCCCAGGCCTTAGCCCAAAACCCTACTCTAAAGGTTCAAGGACTCAGTAGAACCATCCAACTCAGGGTGCTTATCCCCCTACTCATAACCTACTTACTAAGCCCCCTGAGCCTTCCGACTTCAACGAAGGTTTAAAAGAGCCCAGCACCTCATAAGCCCTAAGCCCTGAGCCCTACACCCCGAGCCCTCAACCTTGCCCTACAACTTAGTTGTCCAGTAACCTGGGGAAATCATAAAAAGTTCACCTTTGGATTTTATCGGGGTTAGAACACCCCGAAAAGGTTCAAGGCTACCTACTCGGGGGTTTACGATCATAAGGGAACCCGAATGTAGAACCCCCAAACAGTAGGATCCCCTTAGAATAAGGGCCCCTAAAAGGGTACCCCATACTGTTGGTGCCACTCCACAAACACAAACACAGACAATCGCTGCCTTCTCGGCCTCGGGTGCTGCAGGCGTTGCCTCTGCAGGCGGCGCCGCGGGGGGCGGGTCCTCGGAAGCATCCATCAGGAACGCCTTGGTTGCACATCACTATAGACCCTAAACCCCCTACCCCCCCCCCCCCAAAACTCTAAACCCTAAACCCGAAACCCTACACCCTCAGCCCATAGCACGTGCGGTTTAGAGCCCTTCTGTTGACATGGCGCCAAAGTGCGCGACGACGCGCGCAAGGCCTCCCTAAAAAAACCCTCAACCCCACACACAAACAAGGGAGTGCTCCGTCACTATAGACTCTAAACCCTAAACCCTAAACCCTAAACCCTAAACCCTAGACCCTAGACCCTAAACCCCAAACCCTAAACCCTAAACCCTCAACCCCACTCCTTCTTCTCCTCGTTCTTCTCCTCCTTCTTCTCCTCTTTCGCCTGAGCCATCAGAGCCGCACGGCGCTTTCCTGACAGCGACCCTACAAGTTTGGAGCGGTTGAGGGGTTTTGGGGGGTTTAGGGTTTAGGGTTTAGGGTTTGGGGGGTTTAGGGTTTAGGGTTTAGGGTTTAGGGTTTAGGGTTTAGGGTTTGGGGTTTGGGGTTTGGGGTTTGGGGCTTGGGGCTTGGGGCTTAGGGCTTAGGTGTGGTTATAGACAGGGTTCAGTGGAAGCAGGTTATACCGATTAACTTGACTTTTTGGACCTCACGTCTAGCAATCCCTGAGCCTACCCGATCACCTACCCTGTGGCCGAGCAGGTGACGGGTGGGCACTCACTCTCACTAAACCCTAAACCCTAAACCCTAAGCCCTAAACCCTAAACCCTAAACCCTAAACCCTAAACCCTAAGCCCTAAACCCTAAGCCCTAAACCCTAAACCCTAAACTCGGGATGCGCTCTAGGGATGTTGGGTTTAGGGTTTCGGGCTGCGGTTTCTGGCTTGGTGTGCAGGCTTTCGGGTGAGGGTCTCGGGAATAGGGTTCAGGATTTAGGGCTTAGGGGGGTTCAAAATCTTGACTCATCGTGAAGAAGATTTGGGTGGTTGGGTCTAGGAAACCCTAAATCCTAAACCCTAAACCCTAAACCCTAAACAAGGGTTAAATAGGGCCGCGGAGCTGCCGAACCCACAGGCACTGCGACAAACGCAAGCCGAGAAATAACGCGAAGTTAGAATGCTTCAGCCCGATTAGCCCTGCAACCCTACACCCTTAAACCCAAACGCCCTAACCCCAAATCCCTGAACCCTAAGTCCCAAAATGACCCCACAGCCGCCTGAGTCATAGGGGTACCCAAAACCTCTCCCTCGAAGAAATATTCCCTAAAACCTCAACCCCCGAAACCCTATCCCTTGGGGCTTGGGGTCATAAGCAATGGCGGGTGGGCGGGAGGCGGGGGGGGGGGGGGGGGGGGTGCTTCGGGACGGCTTTAGGGTTTTAGGGTTTAGGGTTTAGGGTTTAGGGTTTAGGGTTTAGGTTGCAGTCAGCCACATGAACCCACCACCGACCCCGAAAAATCTCGGCGCCGGGTCTCGGCTCTCTTCCAATCTCCTGGCTGCCGCCTCCTGTTCGATTTAGGCTCTTGGGGCCCAGGGTGTCGGGTTTAGGGTCTAGGGCTTAGGGCTTAGGGTTTAGGGTTTAGGGCTCAGGGTTTACAAGGCAGCGGCTTGCCCCACTTTAACCACCACCACCACCACCACCACCCCAAGGGCATGCCGTTTTTTAGGCCGAGGCCAATGGCTGGTTCAAGCCATACTTACTTGGAGGTTCCGGGTTCTTATAACTCCAATTATACTTGCAAATGGACTTGTAAGACACCTAAGTACTGAAAGTAGGCTATCAGTAGACTTATAACTGGGGTTGCTTAGGGGATGATAACCCACACACTTATGACTCTACTTCTCCTCAAACCCGAAGAACTACTTACTGGGGAATTCAATGTCCAACAGCACCTACGTAGCTTGGTGACGCAGGGGCTGGACGTAGCTTTTTAGTATTCGAAAAATTATAATAGAACTTATGCGTGAAGACCTCAGCCCCCAGCCCCAAGCCCTAAAGCCCTAAAAGCCCTAAAGCCCTAAGGCCCTAAAGCCCCAAAGCCCCAAAGCCCTAAACCCTAAAACCCCAAAACCCTAAAACCCCAAAACCCTAAAACCCCAAAACCCCTAAAACCCCAAAACCCCTAAAACCCTAAAACCCTAAAAACCCTATAACCCTAACAACCCTATAACCCTATAACCCTAAAAACCCTAAGCACACTCAAAAGGACAGGAAGACCCGGAGGCCCAAAGCTCAGAAAGCCCCGGAGTCGAACAAACACCCTTAGCTTGGGGGTTGACGGTTTGGGCTTCGGGTTGAGGGTTTAGGGTTTAGGGTTTAGGGTTTAGGGTTGAGGGTTTGGGGTTTGGGGTGAAGGGTTCAGGGTTCGGAGTTTGGGGTTGGGGGGTTTGGGGTTTGGAGTTTAGGGTTTAGGGTTTGGAGTTTGGAGTGTAGGGTTCGGGGGGTTTTGGGGGGGGGGGGGGGGGGGGGTGGTTTGGGGCTTGGAGCTTAGGATTTGGGGTCGAGGTGCGGTTGCGGGATGTATGCCTCTTCAGTGCAGTTCCGGAACAAGAGAGAACCCGAAAACAGAAACGCCAAGCAAACAAAACCAAACAGTACAATACAAAGCAATGCATACACACACATAAGGACGGATGTACGTACACAATGTGAATATGTAGAGTGTGTAGATTTCCGGACGGCCTAACTTTCTGAATCCTGTACAACTTAACACAGCAGGGCTTCAAGCTTTCTTGCCCGTGTAGCTCGGGGTTTAAGATCCTCCCCTGATCTAAGAATGACGCCGTTTGGGTAGAGGGTTGGTATAGTAAGTATGGGTTCTAGGGTTTCGGGTTTAGGGTTTGGGGGTAGGGCCTCGGGAGGCTTAGAGTCTACATTGTCGCCTTAGTTGAACCCCACTAAGGGTTTGGGGTTCACGGCTTACGGCACCCTAGCCCGCAACGAAATCCCCACGCGATTCTGTGATGTTTGTTGAAGTTGTTGTGTTCCTCGGTGTTCCAGAGCATGTTAAAGCTAGGGATTTGAGAACTTGTGTTTTCAGGGTCGGTACTGCATGGCTGTGGGGCTTCGGGGCTATAGGGCTTTTTTGAGGATTGGGGTGCAAGTTCATTGCGGAGAGCCCGGAACCTCAAATTGCAAAACCATGGAGACAACACCCTCCTCCACCCTAAACCCTAAACCCTAAACCCTAAACCCTAAACCCTGAACCCAAAAGAAGCTCGAGGCTTCTCCCCAATGTCTCCTCGTCATCCGAGTTGTCGCGGAGGTCTTCCGCCTCGCCAGCCTCCTCCTTGGACTCAAATGAGGCTTGGGGTTTAGGGTTTAGAGTTTAGGGTTTAGGGTTTAAGGTTTAGGGTTTATAAAGCAAATTTGGGGTTTAGGGTTTACAGGCCCGGGCGTGGGTGCATGTAGAGCTAGGCTGACACCCACAGCCAGTCGGGGCCGCGGCAGTTGAAGGCAGCTGGGCCAGACTTGAAGTCATGAGCTGTACGGTTTAGGGTTTAGGGTTTAGGGTTTACAGTTTAGGGTTTAGGGTTTAGGGTGTAGGGTGTAGGGTGTAGGGTTTTGGGTGTGGTGGATGACTCTTTGACTGGTGGCGATTCGTGCAGTCACTTCTCCAAATTGTGGTTCCTTCTGGGGTCCTTCTGATGAGGCGGGCCCGAATTATTCAGGGTACCCAAAAAGGGACGACAATTTAGAGAACTGACCATAGAAGTAGCCCCAACCCGAAACCCTCTGCCCGAAAATCTTAAAACCCGAAGGCCTCTTCCTCCAGACCCCTAAACGACCCGAAGCTGCAAACATCCCCAAGCTCCATGCCATCACAAAACAACTTGAATATGTACACATCCATATATTTCTATATACATATACATATGTTTGTATTTATTTATTTAAGTATATTTACAATATACTAATACTTCTACTAGTACCGATTACAATATATAACATAATATACTATTCTACGGTAGTACGGCACAGTATAGGCCAAGGTTCCCTCCAGTTCAGCGCCGGCTTGGCCACTTTGGCTGGAGGCGAGGGGGGCGGCGTCGGCGGCTCGGGCGACCGGTCGACGCGTCTCCGACGGTCGTCGTTCTTCCTCTACTCCCCTTATAGAACCCTAATAAAAACAACCCTTAGAACTTTCATAACAAAAATTTAATTATCCTCTTGGGCTTTTATATAAACAAAAAGAAAAAAGTTCCCAAGGGGGATATAGCTTCTCCCGGTTGCGCTCGGCCTCCCGGCGGTCATCTCGCCGGTCGTCCCGGCGGTCGTCCCGCCGGTCATCCCGGCGGTCGTCGCGGCGGTCGTCCCGGCGGTCATCTCGCCGGTCGTCGCGGCGGTCCTTCTCCTTCTTCTCCTTCTTGTCATCGCGCTTCCGCTTCCGGTCGTCTACGCTCGGATCACGGCGGCGATACTTGCGATCTGCCTGAGACGCCATGACATCTCCCTAAGGGCACAGTCCTAGGCGACACATTGGGAGCTGGGACAATGGGTTCGAAAGATGGGTGTTTAGGGGCTTCGGGGCTGATTGGGTGAGGGCTGGGCTTGCTAAACGCATCACGCATGAGCAGGCGTCTGCTCCTAGCTGCCCCAGTGAGACCTGCAGCCAGCTAGCCTGCACTTTCAGCATGGCTTGCACCCTTGCTCTAAGGACCTTAAGTATCCCCCTACCCTACAACTCTCCCTGGCTGCTCAACACAACGGGATGACAGGAGGTGCAGCTGAGCCAGAAGAGCAGCAAGGGAAACTCGGCACGAGACGACCCGGAGCGGAGGGTCTAAGTTGGGTTGTGAGAGTACCCCGACCCCCCAAAATGTAGGTCCCTTTTTTGTTGGGTGGGGGGGGGGGGAACGTTCATTGTGTGCTAAACCCAAACCCTAAAACCCTAAACCCTAAACCCCAAACCCTAAACCCTAAACCCTAATCCTAAACCCTAAACCCTAAACCCTAAACCCTAAACCCTAAACCCTAAACCCTAAACCCTAAACCCTAAACGGACAGCCCAAAGTGCCAAAAAGTACAAATGTGGGTCTTGACAGGGCTCAGGGGCCTCCTACCCTGAGCTTACATGAGCACTAGTTAAATAACCTGGGCCCAGAAAAACCATCTGCTTCTATGACGCCTTCCAGGTACATGGGTCGATTCATGCATATTCCTTTAGCTTCGGAGACCAAAACCGGCCCACACTTTCAAAGCGGTATAAACCCTAAAACCGCATAACCCCTCAACCATCGACCTCAGACCTGAAAACTTTATGGGGGGGGGATAAATCAGAAGACCGCTTTTGACAGGTTTCATGGTTGGCTACTTTACCTTGATTCAGGGGGGAGGTTACTGAACAGGTTCCTTTTTAGGGCTCACTGGGATCGAAAAAAACGACTATACCAGACTCTGAGAATGATTCCACATACCCAAACCCACACCCCTTAACCCGTAAACGGAGAATACACAGAAGGACTTGCCATACCCCTGAATTTCGTTTAAGGGTCTGCCCAGGGGGTATGTTGAATGGTCCTTGGATATACGGGGTCTAGGGATCATGAGGAATCCTAGCCGAACATCTTCTGAATCAGATCCTCTTAGCCCCAAGATACAAGGGAAACCGTTGGACTTCTTCTTAGCCCCAAGATACAATAGGGAAATCTCTTTCAATAAAAGGTTTAAAGCCCTAAGCCCTTTGAGAGTTCATAGAGCCCGTGAGACGCCCTGAAAACTCTATGCCGCACGCGTCTTGCCTCGAAGAGACCTGTCGCTGCCTCGCTGGATGACGCCTGGGGCGCTGTTCGATACTCTGAACTCATAACTTAACATTCGAAACCCTAAAACCCTAAACCCCAAACCCTAAACCCCCAACCCTAAACCCCCAACCCTAAACCCTAAACCCTAAACCCCAACCCGAAACCCGAAACCCTAAAACCTCCAGGTAGGGAACCTTGGGTTGCAATGAGGTCGACGCCTCGAGAACAGGTCGTCGATGGCAATGTCCCGGGTGCGTACGGGCAGGTCGGGGTGCCAGCATGCGCAAGCACATTTAGGGTTTAGGGTTTAGGGTTTAGGGTTTAGGGATTAGGGATTAGGGTTTAGGGTTTAGGGTTGAGGGTTGAGGGTTGAGGGTTTAGGGTTTAGGGTTTAGGGTTTAGGGTTTCTGTGCGCCTCATGTAGGGACCCACGTATAACGCAAGCACTGCTTGGGGCAAGAACGTTGAAACTCTAACTGAGAGGAAAAATCCGGGTGTAGACGAAGCAGTGTCTCATCACATCCTGGCACATTCGATTGCTCAAAGGATGAAAGGAATAGACACGGAGGGCCAAGAAGAGCAAGTCCTCCCCCTGCCTGTTTCCTCAAGTTGGAGGGACGAACAAAGCAGAGGACAAGACAAGGAAAAGAAGCAGGAGGAGTATGTTTCTGTCGCTCTCCGTACCAGCCTCCTCCCTCCCCTGCTTTCAGAAGAAAGGATGTACAGATAAAGAGATGAGGATGGGAAGAGACAAGACGGAAGAAACCGGTCTTTTTTGACCAATTAAGCTCATCTCTTTGTGTTCCTGCATCTTGCTCTCCCGTAAATTCGGCCGATCTCTTCCCCCTCTGCGGGAAAAAGGGGAACAAGACATTGCACGATGAAAAGGCCAATGGTCGTTCACTCTCTCCGCTCTCTTCCGTTCTGTCCTCTTCTCTCATCGTATCAGAAAGGTTTAGGCTAGGGAGGAGGAAGGTTTTCCTTTTCCTCTTCTTCACATTGTTTCGGTTCTCGCTTGTCAATAACGAAAAGCTTACGACCGAAGGCGAAAAGGAGAAGAACAAGAGAGAGAGAGAGACAGAGGGATTCCTTTCCAGAAAGCCGCGTGAGGGGAAAGTAGACAGGAAGGGTTTGGGGTTTAGGGTTGTTTAGGGTTGATTAGGGTTTATTAGGGTTAGGGGACCAAACCTATCCTCATCGCAGATCGCGTGCGGCGTGCGTGCAGGTGACCAGTAGCGGTCCCCCATCGCAATCTGCTTATAAAGGAAAGCGATTCCTTCAGAAAACCTGAAAACCCCAACCCTAAACCCACCTTGGGGGGGGTGGACATGGGCGACGATGGAGTGCGCGAGGCCTACCGAAACACTTAGGGAGCTGATCCAAATTCCAGTCCCTTGTTGCGTCTCTGTCATTGAATCCTGGAGCCCCAAATCCCAACCCTTGTGATTTTTCCGGGGTGCAACCCTCAGATACATAAGGCTGCAATTGCCGCGCTGTGGGTCCAGGGTTCAGTGTTGAGAGAAGCCAGTCCTTGCACGTCCTGGGTTTAGCCTCTCTAGGTTCGGGGCGAAAGATGCATTGCGAGCCGCGAACGCCCCTCACAACTCCGCTTCAGATCAAACAAGCCCAAATCGCAAGCTAGAAGCCCTGACCCTCGAAACCCCACAAACCCGAAGGCCGTTAACGCTCAGCTTCAGCTGGGCAAGTTCTCATCGTGCTCCGCGTGTAGGGTTTAGAGGGTTTACGGTTTGTTTGAGTAGAGGGGCTCCGTATTGTCAAAGAAAGGGCCCCTCAAAGACCCTGCTCGAGGGCTCCAAAATAATAATCTGGGGGTCTAACGTTTCGAAACAATGCCTGCTTTGGCCTATTGGGGGGCGCCTTGCGGTCATACTATATTTTGGAGCCTTATGGCACGCACCGAATGCCAACCTAAACCCTAAACCCTAAACCCTAAACCCTAAACCCTAAACCCTAAACCCTAAACCCTAAACCCTAAACCCTAAACCCTAAACCCTAAACCCTAAACGAGACTGTGGCTTCAAGAGCTGCCAGAAATCTAAGGAGCCCACGTTGACGCACACGCCCAGGCTTGCCTTCCACACGTCCATGTCCTTGGGGTGAACACGCCATACCCTGCTGAACGACTCAACGACTCGTAAATGAGGTAGGGTTTAGGGTTTAGGGTTTAGGGTTTAGGGTTTAGGGTTTAGGGTTTAGGGTTTAGGGTTTAGGGTTTAGGGTTTAGGGTTTAGGGTTTAGGGTTTAGGGTTTAGGGTTAGGGTCACAGGTCCCCTTTTGCTTACACACCCATATCGTATAAAGCTCCACATGAAAGTGGATCCCTCACCCGGACCCGAAAAGCCCTAAACCCGAAATACCCGCAAGTGCCCATAAAATGGTACTAATGCAGGGTAGCCTTGCTTAGGACTGCCGGGTCAGTCGACAGCTCAACCGGCTCTTAAACCAAAACCCTAAACCCTCAACCCCTTACAAGCACTCAACCCTTTATCTAGTTCATGGTTGGGACAGCGTTATCAAAATTGAGTTTCTGCTCCTTATTGAGTTTAAGTACCCTTCAAATTTACATGTTTCCCACTATGACAAGGTTAGAGTCAGAGGGGTTTAAGGGTTTAGGGTTTAGGGTTTAGGGTTTAGGTTTAGGGTTTAGGGAGCTTTCAGAGCTTCGGGATCCTCCTGGGCGTTCAACCAGAGTTTATGGAAGCCGTGTCCCACAAACTCTACCCAACGGTTTAAACCAATGGCTGAGGATAGTAGTATAGTGTTTAGGGTCCTTTAAACCCTAAACCCTAAACCCTAAACCCTAAACCCTAAACCCTAAACCCTAAGTCCTCCTACCCTAAGCAGCCCTCAAGCTTCTGAGGCTCCTGCTAGGGGTAAGCCCTGCTCCCTCATCTCAGCTCGGAGGACAGATGCCTCCTCCACCTCCGGACTTTAGGGTTTAGGGTTTAGGGTTTAGGGTTTAGGGCTTCGGGTTTAGGGTTTAGGGTTTAGGGGTTAGGGGTGTAGGGTTTAGGGGGTTAGGGGGTTTAGGGGGTTTAGGGGGTTTAGGGGGTTTAGGGGGTTTAGGGGGTTTAGGGGGTTTAGGGGTTTAGGCCATTAGGGTGTTTAGGGGGGTTTAGGGGGTTAGGGAGGTTCAGGGTTTCGGGTGCAAGGGTTTAGGGGCTTTAGGGCTTTAGGGGTCACCGCGAGGGCCTCTTCGCAGCTCTCGATCTTCTCCACGTAGCTCTGCACAGCGAGCGCCTTGCAACCCTATAGCTCTGGGGTTTGCTTCTTGGGTATTTCGGGTCTGTAGGGTTTAGGGTTTAGGGTTTAGGGTTTAGGGTTTAGGGTTTAGGGCTTAGGGCTTAGGGCTTAGGGTCTAGGGTTTAGGGTTTAGGGGTTTAGGGCTTAGGGTTCAGGGTCCTAAACCCTGAACGCTACTCGAGCAGACGGATTGAAGACTTTCTCCCGCGGCAGCCTTAGTATATCGGCACCCTAAACCCTAAACCCTATACCCTAAACCCAAACCCAAATTAATAAACCCCAAACCCTAAACCCTAGAACTCTAATGCCCTAAACCCTAAACCCCGCACGTCTCACTCTGCCCTCGCGCCAAAGGCGCCTCCTCCGTGGGCTCTGCTTTAACCTGGGCGGCATCTTGAGTCTGATCGGGGGGGATTCTTGGGTATTTCGGGTCTGTAGGGTTTAGGGTTTAGGGTTTAGGGTTTAGGGTTTAGGGTTTAGGGTTTAGGGTTTAGGGTTTAGGGTTTAGGATAGGATGTAGAGGGCTAACTCTTGGGATTTTTCCTTATACCAAGAGGGACTGTAATAGGGGGCTACTCGCCCCATAAGGTCTACTAAAGGGCATCCCAGCTCGAATCATCCTTAAGCCATGCTCCAACTTTCTGGTGCTGAAGAACCGCCCCCCCCCCCCCCCCCCCCCCCCCCACCCCACACAAAAGCAACAATATTCTTCCTTATAAGGGCAATATATGGATTCTTGTCTTTCGTTTTTGACTGGTTCTTAAGCAAATAGGTGGGGGGATTTTGTGGCTTTAGGGCTTGGAAGGCTCATAAGGTTTTGGGGTTTACAGGGTTTGTGGGTTTATCGGGTTTATAGTGGCTTATTAGGCTTTCTAAGGTTTGCAGGGTTGTAGGGTTTTAGGATTAAGGGTTTAGGGTTGGGGGCTTTTGGGCAAAGGGTTTGTGGGCTTTCTAGGTCTATAGGATTTGTAGGTCCACGTGGGTTTTGGGTTTTGGGATCCCCCCCGCTCTTCCCCCTGTGGTTCATGGTGGGTTTGACGCGTCAGGGTTCAGGGTTACCCAAAACCCTAAACCCTAAACCCTAAACCCTAAACCCTAAACCCTAAGCCCGAAACCCTAAACCCTAAACCCTAAACCCTAAACCCTAAACCCTAAACCCTAAACCCTAGACCCTAACTGTAGGGTTATGGTTTTCACTCTGCTCTCCCCCCCTGGGTTCGAAGCTACAGCCTTGGCCTACCCTAAACCCTAAACCCTAAACCCTAAACCCTAAACCCTAAACCCTAAACCCTAAACCCTAAACCCTAAACTGTGAAAATGTTCGACCTCAGGTACGCCCCTCAGCCTCGTCGAGTTGTGCTTGCCTCCTTGGTTGCAGTCGTTCGTGGGATTTCGTGTCGTCACGTCGCATGCTCATGATGCTCGCGAACTGGGTTGTGGCAGGCAGCCTCAAAGCTTGACCCAAACACGTGCAAATGTCTTTGACAGCTCCGCGGCTGTTGTCATGTTAAATGACGAGGAATGCAGTTTGGCATTGCAAACTAACGTGGGCTTTGGCTCAAGGCCTCAAGCCCCCACAACGAGTGAGAAACCGAAAGCTGCGGAAGCTGCGCTGCGCTGTGTTTTTGGTTTGCTGCCTTTTACATGGTAGCGTGAGCCGGTTAGCATGGCACAGGAAGATGTGGGTACACCACCAGGGGCGACCCCGACGCCCAGTCTGGCTAACCCGTTTAGTCCAGGAGCACGAAGCCCACTGCAGCCGCCAGCAGCGACTCAGGCAACTAGTGGGCCACAGGTGTACCAAGTGTCTACTCCGCGAGACGATCCAACTTCAGCAGTCGGACCGACGGTGGCAACCAGTGACTTGTCTGCTGTCATGGGAATGATGGCACAAACGCTGCAAGCAGTGCAAGCACAGACGCATGCAGTGAGGCAGTTGGTCAGCGTCATAGCAAGTCAGCAGCAGCAGCAGCAGCAGCAACAGCAGCCGCCACTGCCACCAGCGGCAGCAGGAAGCACGCAGTCTCCAGAAGGTACACAAGGCTTGGTGAGGACTCCAGCGGTCAGCAGTGACAGTGCTGCCGGTCGTCCGTTGGATCCCAGATGGATCCCCAGCGTGCCGGAAGCCCAGTTCACCTCCTGGCGAACTAGAGTGGAGGAGATCACGGGCTTTTGGGCATGGTGTGAGGCTTTCGGAGCGTGGTTGGCGCTCATCCACCCTTCCTTTGTCGGAGAGCTCCGAGAGGTGCTTACTAGAAGCGTGCCTCTGTCAGACGCCGAGCTGAGCAGTGACCAGTGGGCTAGAGCCCAAAGGCTGTACCACTTGGTCAAGCAGACGTTCCAAGGATGCCAGCGTGTCGAAGGCATCTTTGGTGTGTACGAAGCACAGGCTGGGGTGGGCGCTTGCAACGGCCGCGAGTTGATGCGGTTGCTGAGACAGAAGTACTCGTTGCAGACTCGGTCAGAAGCCCTGCATTTCAGAAATGCGGTACTTCAGTTCCGCGTGGTCAGGCCAGACAACCTCGTGGACCGGCTCAGGCAGATCGACGCGAAAGTCTTTCAGTACCAGCAGTTGCTTAGAACTTTTCCTTTCCCTGCTCAGGTGAGAGACCTGCAGGTGATGGAAAGCGACTTGTACATCCTCATGTTGCAGAATCTTCCAGATCCCGTGCGTGAGTTCGCGCAGCTACATGGAGGAGAGTCTGTAGCTGAAGTCCGTAAGGCCGTGTTGTTGTACCACAACAGGACGTGCTTGGTGGGTGACGTTGGTCGTGTGCAAGAGCTGACGACCAGACCACCAAAAGGTCACGGAAGGGGCAGAGGAAGCGACAAAGACAGTTCTGCAGCTGAGGATGGCCCGCCTTCTGGCGGGAAGGTTGGTGGCAAGGGAGACAGCAAAGGTAAAGGGAAAGGCAAAGGAAGCAAGACCAGGTCCACGTCGCAGGACGGCAGTGGCAACAAGGGCATTGTCTGCTGGGAGTGTGGCAAGCCTGGGCACGTCGCCAAGGAGTGTGCCAACAAGCGCTCTCAGTCTGCTGGCCGAGAGCGGAAAAAGGACATAGTCTGCCACCGTTGTGGCAAGCCTGGCCACGTGAAACGGGACTGCCGAGTGAGATTGGCTGCGTTAGGCTCAGAACAGGCTGGTCCTGACAATGACCCAGCCGGTGAGGAGGCCAAGGTCGTCATGACGTTGAGTTCTCATGTACAGAGGGCTGTAGAGTCTACTGTAGAGAGTGTGAGTGTCGTGCGCACTTCGCCGGAGGCAGAGTGGCTTGTGGATAGCGGGGCTACGTCTCACATCGTTTCTCGTCAGTTCCTGTCATGCTACAGTGTTGCTCATAGCTATGAGGGTTTGTCGTGTGAGCTTAGGGCCGCAAACGGAGCGCTGAAAGAGACCTTTGGCATCGTGGATGTCGAAGTCAAGTTTTCTTGCAAGAGCAGAGGCAAGCCACTCACCAGAACGTTTGTGTTGTCGAGGTGCATAGTCGCGGATACACCCCTGAACGTCATGTCGCCGTTTGTGTTGTACAAAAACGGTTGGCGCACAGTTCTTGCAGATGAGAAGGCGTCCTGTCTGCACTATCGCAGAGACCTCAAAGTTGGGTTGGTTGTGAAGGACCGTGCTTGGTGGACTGTTGCTCGTTTGCCTTCAGCCCAGAGCAAGAAGGGAGACTCTCAAGCTGAAGCCCCGCGCGGGCCTCAGCCTATGGACCTGAGCGCTCTGACTGCTGGCATGTCACCGTCCCAAGTTGCTCCACAAGTCGTTGAGGCAGGTCGTTTAACTTTCTTGCTGCGGGGTCTTGGAGACACGCCGCGCGTTGAGGACAAAGGCCGGCGACGTGTTAGCTTTCAGGAGCCTACTGCTGTTGAGGCTCAGCCGACGGAGGTTGTTGGAAACTCGTCAAGTGAAGCGTTTGGGTCCCGTAGTGCTGTTGGCTTGAGTGTTCCTTCGTTAAGCGCTTTGCGTGGGAATCGTGAGGGTGTCAGTGCTGGCGAGCGTGTGGACCTTGAGTTGGTGTGTGCAGGTGAGGACTCTGTGTTGAGCGAGCCTGTGGACCATCCCATTCCGAGCCTTGAAGAGGGGGAGGCGATCGCCGCCGAGGATCCCACTGATCCGCTAGACCCGTCAGAAGTTGAACTTGGCGCTGGTGGTACTTACCAGCACGTGGCCCAGGGCCATTTCCCTTTTCTTGCTTCGTGCACTTCGTGTTGCAGGGCATCCGGGCGAGTTCCGGCGCGTAGGCTTCGTCACACCCGTGGGAAGTGTGAGCTTGCAGCGGACTTTTGTTTCTTCGGCAGGGTTCGGTTGCTGGTCATGGTAGTACCGTACACGGGTATGATCGCCTCTTGTGTGATGGATGGGTCGGACCATGACCGAAATGTGAGACAAGTCAACCAAATGTGGCGAGAGCTTGGCATGACGGGCCGGACGCTTGAGACTACCATTGACAGTGAAGGCTTGCTACATGCAGTGTTCCGCGCAGCCGCCCGCCAGCCAAACCCGCCAGTGACAGGAGTGAGCTTTCTTGACGTTCCGCCTGACCGTCACCAAGCAAACGGTAGAGCGGAACGAGCAGTTCAAACTGTCAAGCGTGGCGTGGCGGCCAACTTGTTGTTTCTGGAAAGCAGGTTCAGGAAGCGAATAGCTTTAGAATCACCGCTTTTGAAACACTTGGTCCCATATGTTGGCCGCACGCACAACATTTTCCATGTTCCTCAAGCATCAGACACCAGTGCTTTGCTTCGTGGTAGACGCGGAGGACCGAAACCTGCCACACTTCCTTTTGGGGTCCTTGCCCTAGCTAAGGCCACTGAAAGCGCACGCGTGCACGACTTGGAGCAGCTAAGTGAAATTGTGTATCTGGGTCCTGTTTCCACTTCCGGTGGAGGGATGCTAGGCATCATGGCAGGGGACTCGAGAGTCGGACTTTCTCATGAGGAGGCAGTCAAAGTTCGCAAGTTTCAAGCAGGGCGCATTGTGTCTCCTTGCGTTTGGAGTTGGGAAGATGTGCAGCATCTAGTTGTATCCTCAGACGCCGTGCCGGGGCAGCAATTCCCCGCAGGCCCTGTCAGCGAGGTGCGGCCGGGCGCCGATGACGAGCAATCGCCTGCTGAAGCGGATGCTCCTCCTGGTTTGGAAGGGGGTGTGGTAGTTCCAGCCTCGGGGCCCCCTAAGAAGTGGTTGTTGGAGAATGGCTTCACCCCAGGCTGTTCGGCGTGTGGGCACATCTCAACAAGTGGTGTGTCTCATGGGAGAGTTCATAACTCACACTGCCGCAAGCGATACCGCAAGTATCTTGAAAACGAAGCCCAGGCCCGCAGGAAGCGGAAATCTGAGCAGGATACTTCCGAAAGTAGTGGTTCTGGAGTGGCGCAGCCAGTGCCTCGAAGGGTTACCGGGCAGCCGCCTGCTTCGGATAGCACGAGTGTGCCCAGCGTCCCTGCTCAGGCTGAGCCTCCTTTCTCTGTAGATGCTTCCCCGAGTCTTAGTCCTCCAGATCCTGGCACTGCGGGGCCTAGCCTCCCCGGAACGTCTAGCGACGCGGATGTAGAGATGAGCCCTGCGGAGCCTGTCCCTGAACCCATGGAGGTAGATGCTTTAATCGACCATGTCACATGCGAAGCTGAGAATTTGTTTTTCTTGCGAGATGTCAATTTTCGTCAAGTAGAGGATGTTGTTTGGTTTGAGTCACAGTGCCTAGGGAAGAAGATCTGGCAGTCAATGCCCAGAAAGCCTGTTTGCGAAGCTACTGGTAGACCTCTGGACGTGGAACAGCTGAAGAAGGGTCTGATTCGGGAGCACGAGCAGCTGACAAAACTGAAGGTTGGTTTTTGGGTCACGGAAACCGAAGCCAAACAAGGAAGTCGACGGGCTGCGAGCAAACTTTTGGGAACTCGTTGGGTTCTTGTTCAAAAGCCAGAAAAGGTGCGCGCTCGTTTGGTTTGCAAGGACTTCAGGTCAGCAGGGCTGTCAAGTTTCCGTGAAGAGTTTTACAGTCCAACAGCGGGGCTAGAGTCGCTTAGGCTGTTGCTTGCGTTAGCTCACCAGAAGCAGTGGTTCATGTGCACAGCAGATGCGTCGACCGCATTCATGTTTGCTAGTCTAGGCGACTCGTATCAAGCCGTAGCTTTGCCACCCAGTACAGTTGGTCCAGCAAGGGAACGCCTTTTTCTGGTGTTACAAAAGGCCTTGTACGGCCTACGAAAGGCCCCTCTTTTCTGGTTCAAAGAGCTCAAAGCTGCTTTGCTGTCCCTTGGCTTTACTCCCACATCGGAACCAACCGTTTTTCGTTTTGCAGGGGAGGGCGGTGAGTGCATTTGCCTTGTGTTGATTTATGTGGATGACTTGTTAGCAGTTGGCAAGCAGGCAACGTGCAGATGGGCTCTGAGAGAGCTTGGCCGAAAGTACGAGATCAAAATCACGGGAGAAATGAGTCCTGAGACCCCCGGGCATTTGGAGTTCTTGGGCCGGGAAATTCGTCGTGAAACTGCAAGTGGGCCACTCTTTCTTGGTCTAGCGCCTTCCTACTTTGACGGGATTGAAGAGGCAAGTGGCTGTAGTTTAAAGGCAACGCCAACACCGCCAGCATTGCACAAGTACGTTGACGAAAACGGGGTTGACAAGCAACTCGAGGCCGACCGTGCTGGGCAGTTCCGTACCGTATTGGGCAAGCTAGCATGGTTTTCGTTGACCGTCCCAGTCCTTGCGTATCAGATCAGTTGGTGTTCGTCCTACCAACAGAGTCCCACTGAAATGAGCGAGCAGGGCCTCAAAGAAGTCCTCAAGTACGCTAAGAGTTTCCGTCGTTATAGGCAAGGTTTTGGGGTGGATGGGTGCCTAGAGTGGGCGCCGTGTCGTGGATGCCAGTTGGTCCATACGAAGCGTAATGGGAGGGATTGTCTTGTGTTGCGGTGCCGCCATCAAAGTCTGGAGTCGACGCATCCAGACGGCATGCCTTAGCAGTGCGGAGGCCGAACTTCATGCTATCGCTGAAGGGTGTAAAGAAAGTTTGGCGGTAGGCATCGCTTTGCAAACTTTTTTGGAAGGGCTCCCAAGCGTGACTGGCTAGGAATCCCTGAAACCACGCGTGGCAACTATCCACTGTTACTGTACACAGACAGCGAATCTGGCCAGCACATTTCAGACATGCAAGGCCTGCTGCGTCGCATCAAGCATGTGGAGTTGAGGGCGTTGTTGGTGCAAGAGCTTACTGAGAGCGGACGTCTCAAAGTGTATTTTGTAGCGGGGTCTGCCAACCCGTCAGATGCACTCACAAAGTCCAGCGACAAGCACCATGCGTTGCTCTTGATCCTTGCTCTTGGAATGTCGGAAGGGGATGCTTCTTGGGCGGATCAAGTCGTGAGCGTACTCGGCCCGGTCAGTCCGCAAAACAGGCGGCGCATCACCGAAGGCATTCAGAGAGGCTTGGCTCGCGTTGTCCCGCGTTCCTCTGTACGCTTGTCGCATGATCCAGTGTTGCAGTGAGACACCTTGAATGTGAGGACTTGGCTTGTCTTGGTGCGCCCAGTTGGTCGGTTGGAGCTCTGCATGAGTCGAACTTTCGCCCGTTGACTCGGCATCGGGGCGAGAGGGGGTGTGAAAATGTTCGACCTCAGGTACGCCCCTCAGCCTCGTCGAGTTGTGCTTGCCTCCTTGGTTGCAGTCGTTCGTGGGATTTCGTGTCGTCACGTCGCATGCTCATGATGCTCGCGAACTGGGTTGTGGCAGGCAGCGTCAAAGCTTGACCCAAACACGTGCAAATGTCTTTGACAGCTCCGCGGCTGTTGTCATGTTAAATGACGAGGAATGCAGTTTGGCATTGCAAACTAACGTGGGCTTTGGCTCAAGGCCTCAAGCCCCCACGACGAGTGAGAAACCGAAAGCTGCGGAAGCTGCGCTGCGCTGTGTTTTTGGTTTGCTGCCTTTTACATAAACCCTAAACCCTAAACCCTAAACCGAAAAAACCCTAACCCTAAACCCTAAACCCTAAACCCTAAACCCTAAACCCTAAACCCTAAACCCTAAACCCTAAACCCTAAACCCTAAACCCTAAACCCTAAACCCTAAACCCTAAACCCTAAACCCTAAAACCTAAACCCTAAACCCTAAACACTACACCCTAAACCCTAAACCCTAAACCCTAAACCCTAAACCCTAAACCCTAAACCCTAAACCCTAAACCCTAAACCCTAAACCCTAAACCCTAAACCCTAAACCCTAAACCCTAAACCCTAAACCCTAAACCCTAAACCCTAAACCTAACCCTAAACCCTAAACCCTAAACCCTAAACCCTAAACCCTAAACCCTAAACCCTAAACCCTAAACCCTAAACCCTAAACCCTAAACCCTAAACCCTAAACCCTAAACCCTAAACCCTAAACCCTAAACCCTAAACTAAACTAAACCCTTAACCCCCTAAAACCCGCCACCCCATCAAGCCCCAGACCTTGTGTACCGGCATTGCGCTGTGCGTCATCGGCTCAGAGGTCCTTCCAGCAAGAGGGTTTAGGGTTTAGGGTTTAGGGTTTGGGGTTTAGGGTTTAGGGTTTAGGGTTTAGGGTTTAGGGTTTAGGGTTTAGGGTTTAGGGTTTAGGGTTTAGGGTTTAGGGTTTAGGGTTTAGGGTTAAGGTTCAGGGCTTAGTGTTTAGGGGTTTCTTAAACTACCTCACACTCCTTCCAAAACTACCCGATGTTCTACCCTGGTACTTCCTATTTATTTATAGCGAAAACTGATTAATGTACTGTCGCAGCCAGCCAGAAACTGAAACACCGGCTTATCTTCACGACCCTAAAACCCATACCCAAAACCCTAAACCCTAAACCCCAAACCTACACCCGAAACCCTGAGCCATAAACCCTAAACCCTGCACCCTAACTTTTAGCGCATGATTGGGGGTTGGGGCCTAGGGTTGAGGGGTTTACAGCTTAGGGTTTTAGCGGGTTTAGGGGCTTAGGGCTTGGGGTTTAGGGTGTAGGGTTTAGGGCTACAGGGTTGAGGGTTTATCGGTTTAGGCGATGAGGTTGATGGACGATCAGGAAATGGAGCTCTGATGACTGTCATATAGGGTCCTGAGCGCCGAGCTGCCCAAACCCTTTAGGGTTTAGGGTTTAGGGTTTAGGGTTGAGGGTTGAGGGTTGAGGGTTGAGGGTTGAGGGTTGAGGGTTGAAGCCTTGCAGTCGTTAGCCCTCACTTCTGAACACCCTAAACCTTAAAACCCCAGACCCCAAAGTCGAGCCTGAAACCCTAAACGCCTACAATTTCAAAGCCAAGATCTCCACCTAATAAAGACCTTCGAAAGCCCTAAGGGTTTAGGTTTAGGGTTTACAAGTTTAGGGTTAGGGCTTGGGGTTATAGATATCAACCTCCAGCACCGAAAAACCCTAAACCCTAAACCCTAAACCTTAAACCCTTTTCGCAGCGTGAGCAGGCGCGGAAGAAGCGGAGGGTCTCCGCCGTGGCAGGCGGAGAAACAGCCCTGCTGCTGCCCACTTGACGAGGGTTTGGGCCCACGGGGTTTGTGCTGTTGAAGGGTTAAACCCTAAACCCTAAACCCTAAACCCTAAACCCTAAACCCTAAACCCTACACCCTACACCCTAAACCCTAAACCCTAAACCCTGGCGGACCCCGAGACCCAAATCCTTCCTGTGGGCCGGTGCGAAGGGGCGACCTAATGCCCCATAAACGCTCCGCTACGCTGTCCGCTAAGTGCCTGCTGCGCTGGTTTCTATAAGCCAGGTGCCTGAGCCCCTGAAGCCTTCCGAGCACCTCGCCCTGCTGGTCCACGAACCTAGGGTTTAGGGTTTAGGGTTTAGGGTTTAGGGTTTAGGGTTTAGGGTTTAGGGTTTAGGGTTTAGGGTTTAGGGTTTAGGGTTAATTAAGGTTCAGCCGAGGCCCTGAACCCGGAAACCCTACACCTTCCAGAGCCCCCTCAGCCCCGAAAGATTCAAATTCCAGCAGATACAAAACGCCCAAAGCCCCAGACAACTTAAAGCCCTGAACACGCTAAACCCTACCCCCCGACCCCCCCCTTGCCCCCCCCGGCCCCCCGCCCAACACCCCCAGGCTAAACCCTACAACAATAGTTCCTCCCCCTTGGGGTTTTAGGGCTTGGGGTTTATTAGGGTTTAGGGTTTAATGCAACCCTAAACCCTAAACCCTAAACCCTAAACCCTAAACACTAAACCCTAAACCCTAAACCTCCCAAACCCGAAACTCGAAACGTCTTATCGCGCTTTCGGAGGTGTCGGTCGGCTGCGGGTTTGGAGGGTTCCCTGGTCACGGCCCCCTGCCCCTGCCGGGTTCTTTTTCGGGTCTTTTTTCAGTCGTTCAAGGGACCCTAAACCCTAAACCCTAAACCCTAAACCCTAAACCCTAAACCCTAAACCCTAATTTAGGGTTTGAGGTGTAGGGTTGCTTGAACTTACGGTTCGTTTTAAGGTCTAGGGCGGGCGGTGGAGGCTGAATGATCTGCTGTAATTAGGGTTCTAAAGCCCGCATTTTTTTCGAGTTGTCCCTGTACACCGTTTCAAAATTTTCCTACACATGAAAGTATATAAACGATACACTAAACCCTTAACCCGTAACCTGTAACGCTAGACACGAAACCCTAAGACCCAAACCCTGTTGCGCAGGGTTATGTGGCCCCAAACCGTTAATCATGAACCTTCATCCCTATTTGAAGAAGTTTTGTTTGGGTGTAGAGTGTACTTTACTTGAAGGGCTCTGGGAACTCAGTAAGCAGGTCGTACATCAGTGGAGAACCCCACTGAGGGTGCTTACGACCATATTTCTTTACCTAACCCCCTTCCCCAAACCCCTACCTACAGCGTTGCTCTTGGGTCTTGATTTTAGCAGGCTTTGCCGATCCATTGCCAAGAACATACATCTTAGGGTTTAGGAGGGTTTAGGGTTGATGGTTCTACCTTTGAACACCCCAAAGGACAAGAAAAGCTAAACGGCCCTCAAGCAAGTCATTGTGTGTGTTTGCTCCTGCGGGGTTGGGAGTTAGGGTACACCCTAAACCCATAACTGCCATGCCTTTGGGAACCTAAGAACCCCTAAGCCCTTGGGTCCTGTGAACCTCCTGCGAGTTGTGGCGAAATCTCCCTGAAACTGGGTATAGGGTTACGGCTGCGGGTGTAGAGGGGTAGGATTGAGGGTGTAAGACTTGACAAACAAAAACCCTAAACCCTAAACCCTAAACCCCAAGTGTTTCAGAAGCCTTGGGCCCCAGGTGAGGACTTCTTGGAGCAGAAGCCAGGACCCCTGTAGGCAGAACGGAGTCGGCGCGGGGGGGGAGGGGGGGGAAGGGGGCCATTAGGGTTCATGTACGGTTTAGGGTTTAGGGTTTAGGGTTTAGGGTTTAGGGTTTAGGGTTTAGGGTTTGGGGTTTGGGGTTTGGGGTTTAGGGTTTAGTAAGTTCAGGGTTTGGGGTGAAATCAGGGTTGAGGGTTTAGAGATTAAGGGTTTATAATGTTGGGGGATCTAGGGCTGTAAACATGCATGCATGATTGCAGCAACTTATCCCTGAGGCTTCGAGGGTTGTAGGGTTTTGTGGTTGTTTTGAAGGGTTTAGGGTTGAGGGTTTAGGGGCTTAGGGTTTAGGGATTCACGGTGTCTGTGTTTAATGAAGCCCCTCCCTCCCCTTACCCCCCGCGGAGAAGCTGGACGGAGGAATTGCGTCTCCGTCTGTCGCGACTGCCGGTGGAAAAAATCGCGTGGAGTTTCGACAGCCGAGTCGAGTTTGGGGAGCCTCTGCAAACTCTATTTCGGACCTATTTCGGAGGTTTAGGTCTAGGGCTTGGAGTCTCAGGGTTCCCTAAACCCTAAACTCTAAACCCTAAACCCTAAACCCTAAACCCTAAACCCTAAACCTTCCTGAATGCATAGACCGCCCCAAGAACTGTACACAGATCTCAGGTCGAGCCACTTCACGCACCCAAAAGTATCAGGGTTCAGGATATTAGGATAATCAAGTATTGGGGCTGAGGGTTCCTAGGGTTTTTAGGGTTTTCATAGGGTGTTTAGGGCTTATAGGGCTTATGGGGTTTATGGGGGTTTTTAGGGTTTTTAGGGTTTCAGGTAAAGGCTGTTTGTGAGGCCAGGTGGAGACTTGATCAGAGTTTTGGGAGTCTAAGGTGGAGTTGGGGTTTAGGGTTGTTTAGGGGTAAGGGTTAAGGGTTAAGGGTTAAGGGTTAAGGGTTAAGGGTTAAGGGTTAAGGGTTAAGGGTTAAGGGTTAAGGGTTAAGGGTTAAGGGTTAAGGGTTAGGGAGGGGGACGCTGTGGACGCTTGTCTGTGGTAGAGTTGTGGCTATTGTTTTACATGTTTTTTTTGTGCGTGTGTATCACCCAGATGCCAAGTCACAACCAGTTGCAGCCGAGGTACCTTGGATGCATAAGCATAAAAAGACTAACAGGAAGGACGTCACACTATATATATATATATACGTGTAAGCTCAGCCGACCCACCCTCAGGAGCACAG